CGGCTCGGCAGGGGCTGCGCGCGGCTCGGGGGGGGTCGCGCGCGGCAGCAGCGGGCTCCGCGCGGCTCGGCGGGGCTGCGCGCAGCTGAAAAAGGGCCGCGCGCGACTCGACAGGGCTGCGCGCAGCCAAAAACGGGCCGCGCGCGGCTCGAATAGGCTGCGCGCAGCAGGAAACGGGCTGCGCGCGGCTCGACGGGGGACACGCGCGGCTCGGCGGGGGCTGCGCGCGCCAGATCCGGGCTGCGCGCGGCTCTATGGGGCTGCGCGCGGCTCTATGGGGCTGCGCGCGGCTCTATGGGGCTGCGCGCGGCTCGGCAGGGCTGCACGCGGCTCGACGGGGGCGGTGCGCCGCGATGACGGTGTGTGAGAGGCAGCAGAGCGGCGCGAGCAGCGAGGGACAGTAGCAGGCAGCGTGCTTGACGTAGGTCTGCGCGGTAGCAGCAGCAGACGGCACAGTAGGCAGCAGGCAGTAGGCTACAGGCAGACGGCGCGCGCAGCGCAGCACGTCACAGGCACAGGCACAGGCGTGGGGTAGCGGTAGGTGGGCCCGGAAAAAACGGTCCTACGGACCTACTGCTCTGAAACCATGTTAGAATCTAGAGACAAGGATGATGCATTGATCAAGAGTTGGGTACATAAGCTAACCCTAACATTGGGTTGTACCCCATATGGGCTACCCCACTAGCAGCCTACACAAACACAATATGCATAGTTTGACAAGTGCCGCTGCAGCGGTTGCAGCTGCAGCACTCGAGGGGTAATTACATCTTAGCCTAATTCCTGCGAGTTCCCTCCAAGTGTTGGTTGTTTTGTATTCCTTGTGTTGCTGCTTTCGTTTTGATGCCTTACTTGCCCCCCTTCATCCTTCTCCTGATGTTGCTCCCCCCCCTCCTTTTCTGTGACTCATCTCCCTCAACATGGTGCCCTCAACTCCCGCCCCTCTCCATGTCCCATTGCTGTCTATGGCAACAGCTGCAGAAGAAGCAGTGGCAGCAACTGCAGTGCAGCGAATTCCACATGGTAGGTGTGATAGGAGAGTCTGCCGGGGGGAGTTTTCTGGCTTTGCTAGCCTACATTTCGCACCTTACTGCTTGCTTCATAATGGCAATTTTACAAGAAGTACACATATCTTTTGTGTCTTTCGATCGGTTTCACTTCCATGATGCTATGCGCTTTTAAATCTTGTAAGTGTCTCTCTGTTCTGTTCCCCCCTTTCTTTCATGCCTCGTTGCTGCCCAATGAGCAGCTCATAAGTGGCTCATCTATGGTGAAGTGTAGGGCGAGGTGGAGGACATGTGGGGCGCCGCACGCAGATGAGCCACCAAGAGATGAGCTCAAGATGGACCTCTGCTGTGCTCAGCAGTGCTTTGCTTTGCTTAGCTGCGCTTTTTTATTCCTAGGTCTGCTGTGTTGTGTGCTGTGCTGTGCTGGGATGCCCCTGCGTATTGTGGAATTGGTGTGTGGGTGGGGTGGGCACTGGGCACTGGGCAGTTTGGAAGGTGCCTAGTCTGGGTACGAACAACACCCACGCAGGACAGAGAGCCCTGTGGCAGGCACTGTGCCTTGGTGGCATGGCCTGACGACACGCACGCTGATGGGGTGCAGCTGATGGATGCTGATTGGGCGCAAGATATGGGGTGCAAGAGATGGGTTGCAAGAGATGGGGTGCAAGAGATGGGGTGCAAGAGATGGGGGCGAGGAGTCAGACAAACATCCTTTCGAACACAACTGACAGTGGTGAGGGCACATACACGAATCACGATGCATGTATTAGCAAGCATCGGGAGAGGAGAGGAGACTGAACAAAGGGTGACATGGTAAGGATTGACAAAGATCTCAGGGCACGCATATTTCACCTACTAGGTATCAGCAGCACAGGAATGAGCAGAGCAGCACTGCAAACCCCATGGCTCAGTGCTGCTGTTGTGGCAGTAGCAGTAACACATGCACCACAGCCATGCTATCAGATGGAGCAAGAGCATACGTGCCACAATGCCACTCACCCAGTCGAACACATGTGCTGCATTGCTACATCCTCCATGCCTGTTTCTGTAGCTGCAATGGAATGGAATACCCACCAGCCAACATTTCCCAGCCAACCAGCTAAGCAGGGAAGCAGCCAGAGCTTCACCCAGAACCAAGCGTCCTGGATGACTCGGAGACCCTGAGTAGACCCACCCAGGTTCATCTCATACCTTCATTAATTTTATTTCCTCAAATCATCAGTTTTGAGCCTCTATGAACCTCTATTACTGTAACTCAAACGTTAGGCAGATGTACACAAGATGCCCAACCCCTGCACGCGAAATTGCCTCGCACGTTCCAGAAACCTTGCACACGAAGGTTTTTTCCCGGGCAGTTGCACCCACGTTACAAGCACGTCAACCAATACGAACCACAGAAACAGAAGAGACCGAAGTCAAACAGTCAACGGTGAGTTACAAAATTTTGCTATAAGCCCTTTTTGCCCGACGCGAATTGACGAAACCTCCACGAAATGCATGAATCACTTAAGCGCCCCCTTCACAAGGCAACCTTGGGTTAGTCAAACGGACATCGTGTGTACTTGCGGGAAATTATTCCGATGTCAAAACACGAATCCTTTCGTCAAGCAATCTCGACTAGCAAGTTGTTCGTGAATAGTAACCGCATTTCTTCGGGGCAAAAGGGCACCCCTCGAATTCTATGGTTTGTTGAAAAGGAAGCACACACCCGTCTTGACACGAAGCACCCTAAGCCACCCACCGCATCCTCCATCACCCCCCCAAAACTTTCCCCATCTCGCACAATCCCTTTGGGAGCGACACGTTCGTACACCCTGTTCTCGATAATTGTACACCCCCTACTCCTTTTTTTCCTGGGTACCCTTCTCGATCTTTGACTAGATGCGACGGACCCCCAGACATTGAGGGACTATTATTAAACAACAAAATTGACGGAATCCTAGAAAGAAACTCGCACTTAATGGTTGTGTTCGGGCCTACAGATCGCGAGTACGTCGGATCCTCCGCGGTTTTCATCTTCTGTTGAAAACTACCCTACGAAAATGATGGACATTGGGTAAATACTCCTGGGTGTGCGATTAACCCCTGTGAAATAATCGAGAACAGGATGTATAAACCCCTAGAAACGTGGTCCGAGAAACGGCCTCCAAAAGGGTAGCTCCAAACCTCGCTCTGAAGCGCAGAGTGTAAACCGCCTTGTAATCGATAGTGCGCGTTGTTCTGGGCTGCCAGCCAGGTACACAATGTAGTTTTGTGGTCGCGTTGTCGGTTATGTGGTTTTGTTGTTTCCATACTGTCTTGTACATGGTTTTCCAAATGACTCTTCTATTCTCACAAATAACTGCGCGGAACTCCTCCAGTGGTCAAACTTACCCGTCCGGTCTGATACTGTAAAACTGTCAAACTTTACCTGTACAGTAGATTGATCTCTCTCTGCCTATGGTCTTCAGTTTGAGGGCATTTTTTTCTCTGTGAAGCTCGTTGTGAAGTCAAAACAAGTTTCCAGAAGAAACAAGGCCAGAGTGTGGCTTCGGTCAACCGACGACCATGACAAAACGACGACGAGACGAGGCGACTCGAGACGCCACTGTCCTGGTTGATGGCTGGCTGCTGCTGCTCCTGCCCCAGCTCCTGCAGCTGCCGCTGCAAGTGTAGTTGTGGCGGGCTGCAGGCTGCTTGAATAGGTGCAGTGCATTCAGAAAGCAACTCTAGTGCGGTTGAGTGTTGTTAAGGTCGTATGCAGTACAGATTTCCCGAAGAGATTCTGGAAAACCAAACAAACCAGATCTGTTGTTACCTCCCCAAAACCGGAAACCACAACCACAAACCACATCGCAATAACGAGCATTCTAATCGTCGAATCATTTGACGGAGTTTGCGCTTTTTGCAACAACTGCATCCTGCTCCAACACCGCGGGATGAACTAACGAGTTCCAGATTGGAACCCTTGCACCGTCCGTCATGGTTTGTCCCTGACCTGGATTAGCTCCTCAATCATCGTTCATCAACGACTCAATAATTCGTTCTCATTTTGTTTGAGTCGAAGAGATCCCACGCATCGAGACGCTTTTGCCCCCACCAACCGTTTAGGCCCATGCCGCAAAGCTCCTTCACCTCTCCTCTACCTGCCAAATTACCCATGCGTCCCCGTTGAGTCACAAATCCAACTTCACTACCGTTGCGGGGTCGCCGCAAATTTCGTATTTTGTCCTACTCGCGGCTCGCGATCGCGATCCCGCGCAGCTCCATTTTTGGCCGTAGTAACCCGCGCAGGGATGGGGCCTGTGAGCGCGTGGCAAGCGCCGAGCGTGGTGTGGGTGGTGGAGGTGGGCCGGAATCGCGAGTTGGCCGAGGAGACTGTGCGCGCTGCCGTCACTCACGCGGAGCAATACATCTCTAGCGCCGCTGCCAGTGCCACTGGCTCTATCTTCAACGCGACTGGCGGCGGCAGCGGTGATAGCAGCAGCAGTAATGGCAGTAGCAGCAGCGGTAGTATAAGTAGCAGCACGAGTAGCAGTGGCAGCAGTGTCAGCGGCGGAAGCGCCAGTGATTCAGAGGCCGGCGGTGGGCAGCAGGCGGCGACAGTTACGCTGATCCTGTGTTCTGTCGCCTCGAAGGACTCACGTTCACTCGAATCATATACGTCTGGTAGGTACTACAAGCCCCCATAATCTGCACCTCTTCCACTGTCTCCTCTTCCCCCGCTCCCCCTCCTTTTCCCCTTTCCTCTCTCTTGCGTCTTGACCAAGCCGTGTTGTTCTGAGGGCGCTTCGGGATGACGTGATCGTCCAACCATGCGCTCATTCGCTCATGCGGTTATGCGCTTGCGCCGATGTGTATGGACTGATGCGACGTCTGGAAACTAGTTCGCCGGAGGTGGCGGAGACTCTTTTTTTTTTTTTGGATTTGCTGATGACAAAATTGGCGATGGAGTCTCGCACGGTTGACGAGTGTTTCCAGTCGATCGTGTCTCGACTGACGACCCCCCCACAGCCGATGCATCGGAGAATTTTATACGCGGAGCAGTGAACGGCCGGCCCTCGATGTTCGTCAGCCATCGTTTCGTCACGATGTTCTTGGGCAGTTTTCGATTCATGTTTCATTATTTCTGATAACCTTCACATTTCCAATCTTTTTTTCAACATTCGCGGTATTCTGGCATTTCTCATAACAATCACCGTCACCAGCAAAACACGTGTCATTCCAGCGGTCCCAATCTTTCGCGTCCCGACGCCGATTGAAACGGTAAGCTGGTAACAGCACGCCCGACGAGGCGCCTTAACGGGTTTCGCCCGAACCTGAACCGCCGCAAGCGTTTGACGCGTCGTTAACGCGAGAGGTACTGCGACAATCCCACTCTCCCCTCCACAGGCGTCAGATTCATTTAGGCTTACGGCGACGCTGATTCTACGTCGCTTCGACCACACCACGTCGCGCCACGTAGTCGTAACCTATTTCTCCATTCTTTTATTCTACGTCCATATTTTCCCTCCACGATCGCAGATGAAACGCCTACTAGCGCTCTGTCGGGGGAAGGGGCGGAAGACAATGCGGAAGAGGCGCGAATTCGAGCTGCGCTCCAGGCGGCGCTGCAGCTCACATGGTCGCGGAAGGTGCGCGAGTGTAAATCCGTAGGTGGGGGGAAGGGCGTTTGGTGGGGGGGGGATTGCGGACAAAGGGATTGGTTAGGTTTGGGTGCTTCGCGATCGGCGAGATTCTTCCACGTCATCGCGATCACAGTGATCTTATCCACATGTTTGCTCCTAACTTTTGTTATGGAAAAAGGTAGTCCTTGTCACACACCTGTTACAGGCGGCGAGAGATGGGCATGCCGTAACAAATGGTGGGAGTGTAAAGCAGCTGGTAAGGTTGGTGCTAATATTAATTGATGCGTATTTCTTCGCATCTATGGGCAATGGCAGGTGAAGGCCGTAGCGCACATGGAGAGGAGTGAGAGCAGGGAGCGGGGACTGTGCATGGCAGTGAGGCGATTCCACGCCACCTGCCTCTTCATAGGCCTGCGCAAGTGAGCTTTCGCCACCTGCCTTTCCACTCCTCTCCTTGAGAATCCCCTTTCTCAATCATCCTCCTCCCTCATTCTCTTCTTGTCCTTTCCCCACTTATGTCAACCACATGTCACCCATCTTGAGACACACCCACGCGTACACGCACACGCACTTAAAGCAACCGCCTTTTCAGTACTGTTCTCCCCTGGCCCGCATGTCTTCTGAGACGTCTCAAAAACACCCTCACCCCAACTCGCCCTCCCCATCTCATCACCCGCAGGCGGCAGCTATGGGGTTCAGGCGAGGCGGCAGTGGTGTCGCACTGTGCATCGCACCTTCCCCCAGGGCTGCACATCATGGTGCTACAGCAGGGCAGCAGGAAGATGAAGCACCTCGTCGCCTCCTCCCACCGCACGCTCTCTCTCTCCGACCCTCGCTCAGTGCCCCTCTCCCCCAACAAGCCCGCCCACGCAGCCGCAGCATGCAGCGATGAGTTTCGTCTGCACCCTGCTGCCTTCTCCCCCCCCGCCGAGCCTACTGGTTTCACGTCACCCAAGCCTGCAGGTTTGACTGTACCCGAGCCTGCAGGGGTGATTCCACCCGAGCCTGCTTGTTTGGGTGAGTCGAAGGGGGGTGGAGAGGGCGGAGGAGGCGTGGACGAAATGGGCCATTTGGAGGTTAGAATTGGGATGGATCATGCCGAAGTTTCACGCACTTCTAATGCTGCTGCACTGGCTGTTGGTGGTGGTGTCAGCAGTGGTGGCGGAACCGGTGATGCTGTTGCTTCAGGTGCTTCAGGTGCTTCGACACTCCCTGAGCAGGTGCACTCCCCCTCAGCAGCCGTGTCAGCATCGGGCAAGCGAGGCTCACACTTCACAGCAGCCAGAATGGCTGGCTTGGTGTTCCCCCACCGTAAAGCATCTCCGTCCTCTCTGCCATCCACTGCAGCAGCAGCAACAACAACAGCTGCTGCGACTGCCTCTTCAGGTGCAGCAGCAGCAGCAGGGTCAAGAGTGGCAGTGGAACGTGGTGCTGGTGCTGGCACGACCAGGTCTGCACCGTCCAGTGGTGTGCTCGCCTCCGTTGACTTATTTGACTCTGACTCGGTCCCCCCTTCTGCTCGCCACACCAGGCTTGGGGCCGCAGTTGCTGCTTCTTTTGCTGCTCGCCCCGCTGCTGCTGCAGCTGCTGCTTTCCCTGCTGGCAGCTGCGACCACGACAGCGCTGCACCTGTAGCCGCCACCAACAGTTGCCCTCTCTCCTCCTCCTCCTCTCCCGGTCTGCCAAACACCGCTGCTACTACCATGCGCTCCCGTCTGAACCTCACTCTCCCTTCCCCCGCACCAAGCCATGCAACCGCCTCCTCCTCACCCCCCTCCTCTCCTCCCCCGGGCATCACCCCTTCACGAGCCTCAGGACGGAACGCAAATGCTTCTGCTGCATCAGCTGCCACTGCCACCACCGGTGCCGCCGACGCTGCCGATCCTTCCGCTGTTGCTCCTGCTCCTGCAGCAGGCAGTTCAAGCCTGCTCTCCTTTGCAGATCTCCCCGCGGCACGCTCTGTCTCTGGCTTCACCCGTTCCCACAGCTCCACCAGCACTAGCAACCAGCAGCCGCCCTCCCGCCCGCCAACCGTCCCCACCTATCCGCATTTCTCTGTCTCCGTGCCCTCCGGGCCCCCACCCTCCCCGCCTCCCCTCTCCGCCACCACGCCCACCTCGCCCTATGCGCTCTGGCCGCCCTCCCCCTGGAGCCCGTCTGTCCCCGCCTCGCCTTTCTCCTCCTCCTCACCGCTCTCCACTCCTGGCAATGCTCGCGAGTTCACCCGCGGGGGGTCTTTTGGCGGCTCTAGTGCGTCTACCTCGCCTGGTGGTGCTGCTGGTGCTGCTACAGGTGATGATGGTGGTAATGCTGCTGGTGGTTCAGCAGCAGGAGCTGCAGCAGCAGCAGGCATACCGCAGTCGCGCATGCTTGTGAATTCCCGCACGTTGAGTCGAGGCAAGAGAGCCATGCAGCTCGCGGCTGCCAATGCGGCACCCACCGCCGGCCCTCTTGCCGCCGCCGCCGCTGCTGCTGCTGCTGCTGCTGCTGCTGCTGCTGCTGCCCCTCCGGGAGCTGTTGTCGCAGGTGCAGCTGCCGCTGCTGCTCGTGCGGGCGATGGCACGGCTGCAGCAGGGCTCGTGACAGAAAGAGCGTCCCAGGGACACAGAGGAGGGGGAGGAGAAAGGGGCAGAGGGAGGGAGGGCGAGGGAAGGAGAGGGGAGAAGGGGGTGAGAAGCGCGATGAGTGGTGAGTTAAGTCCGAGGGAGTTGGACGTGGAGGGTGTGTGGGGTCCCAAGGAGCGCGCGTTTGAGTCGACTCAACAGCTGGAGGTGGAGGGTGTGTGGGGTCCCAAGGAGCGATTCCAATCCCGCCGCCGCTTCCCCTCCCTTGGCTCCTTTGATTCTGCCTCTCTTCTCACTGCTGCTGGCCCTCGCCCTGTCGCTGCCACTGCTGCTGCTGCTGCTTCAGGTGGTGCCTCAGGTGGTGTTGGTTTGGTTATCCGTGGTGATCGTGGGGAGGATGCTGCTGGGATGAGCAACAGCAGAGGGCGAGGCCTGCGTAGCAGCAGCTTGAACGATAACATTCCAGAATATGCGGGTGGCACTGGCAGTCCGAATGGTCGCGGGAATGGCCGTGGCGTTGACAATGGGACTGGCAGTGGGAATGACAGTGGCAGTGGCAGTGAGGGGTGGGATCCGCTAGCAGAAGCTGCTGCTGCCATCTCCGGTACTGCCCATTTCTTTGGCTCGCACAGTAAGGGACAGAGGGAGGGCGCAATGGGGGGATACGTGGAGAAAGGGCAGACACAAGACGTGGCTGCTGACTCTGCTGCAGCAGGAGCAGCAGGAGCAGCAGGAGGAGCAGCAGCAGATGCAGCAACAGCAGCGGAGGCGGGCACAGGGGTGGAGGGGTCGCACAGGTGGGAGGAAGTTGGAGGCAGAGGGGGAAGGAGAGGCGAAGGGGGGAACGTGTGGGGGGAGCAAGAGAGCGAGGGAGGGGGAGAGGAGGCGCCACAGAGGTTCCCGACAGAGATGGTGGTCGAGAAAGCATTGGCTGCTGCTGCTGCCTCTGGTGACCTGCGCGCTCGTAACCTGAGGCGAGTTGTGTCACTTTCAGAGCAGGGCGAGCAGACGAGCAGTCAAGAGCACGTGAGGGAAGCACCAAGGGGAGGGGAGAGAGGAGAGGGAGTAGGGGAGAGAGGAGGGGAGAGAGAAGGAGAGAGGGGAGGGGAGAGGGAGTCGCAGGGACGAGCAGAAGCGGGTGTGCTGGGTGTGCTGGCTGGGGTAGTGCTGAAGCACAAGGGGCAGAAGGAGCAGCAAGCGCAGCAAGAGCCGCAAGGGCAACAGGAGCTTCAGCAGCAGCAGCAGTTCGTGCATCAGGGTATTAATTCTGGTGGCAGTGATGGTGGAGGGGAGGAGACAGCAGGTGCAGGAGGAGAAAAAGGGGCAGGGGGAGGAGGCGGAGGGGCAGGAGCAGGGGGAGGAGGAGCAGCAGCAGCGGGCAAGCAGAAGTGGAACGTTGTGGGGAAAGGTGGAATGTCGAGACCCCGGTCCCCCTTGGATCGCCGCGCAGCGTCGTTCAGAGAAAAGGGGGCCTTGGCTACTCTTGCACCAATCCTTGGCCTCGTGCACAAGGGAGCAGGTGGAGGAGGAGGGGGAGGTGGAGGAGGAGGGGGAGGAAAAGGGGGGGTTGATTTTGTGGGAAGAGGTGGGAGCCGGCAGGGAGGGAGGGACGGAGGGAGTGAGGTGCGGTTGGGTGCGTTGCAGAGGATGCTGGAGGAGCGACGGGCGGAAGCTGCACGGGCAGAGGAGGCAGCGAGGGAGGCGAGAGAGAGGGTGCGAGAGATGGTGGAGGAGGTAGAACTGGAAAAGGCGAGGATAGAAGCTGACAGGGAAAGGCAGCAGCAGCAGCAGCAGCAGCAGCAGCAGCAGCAGCAGCAGCAGCACAAGGCGCCTGGGTCTGGGCCGCTCAAACCCGTGACGAGCAATGCGTTTGAGCGATCACCTTCCGAGTCCTGGCCCCCTGCCCCATCTCCATCATCGCTCGCCCGCCGCCCCTTCTCTCCTTCACCTGCTACCACCAGTGCTGCTCCTGCTGCTCCTCCTGCTGCTATGATGGCTCCAGGGGGCGATGAGGGGGGCCGGTGGTTGCGGTCGGAGCTCCTGCTAGGCTCGGATGATGGCGAGGCGAATGACTTTAGCTTTGGCAGGGTTGTGAGACCCAGTGCTGCTGCTGCAACAGGTGGAGAGGACGACTACTGTGATGACCCCGACCAGGTGAGTGCTTTCTGGCCGGCTTCGCTCCTTTCTCCTTCCGATCCGTCTTTCCCTCACGTTGCTCCGCTGCGCCCGCTCTTTGCCCGCTTCCCTTCACTATCCACACCAGCATCTCCTCGCCTCTCCTCTTCTCTCCTCCCGTTTCCTCATCCCATCGCTTTTTCTCCCTTTTCTCTCGCCCATGATCTCCAACAACAGGAGCATCACAGCATGGCGAGTGACAGCAGCACGTGCTCCTCATTCAACTCAGCGGAGTTTCTCCGCAAGGTGGCCGACAGGAGCAGCAGCAGCAGCAACAGCAGCACCAGGCAAGGTCCCCAGCCGTCTCAACCCTGCAGCTGCTACTGCTACTGCTGCTGCGCCTGGGACAACGAATCCTGTGAGTGTGGCACCTTGGTGACCCTTCGGCTTTCGGGCAACCATCTCACCTCCTGAGCCCCCCGTGATGCAACTAGCATTCCTGCTCATGCCTTCCTGCTCATGCCTTCCTGCTCATGCCTTCCCGCTCATGCCTTCCTGCTCATGCCTTCCCCCTGTCCTCCCTTGATCTTTCTCCATCTCTTCTTTATGCATGCAGCCTGACACCACAGCCAGCTCCCCTCGCAGCAACCCCTCCAGCTCTGCTGCCCACACAACAGCAAGCGGCGGCGGGGGAGGAGGGGGCGGGTCAGCAGCAGGAGCACCCCCGGACGAGTCTTCCGACTGCCGCCGCTTCACGCTCGACCAGCTTCGGGAGGCCACCAACGGCTTTTCCGAGGCCAACATGCTGGGTCGGGGGGCGTTTGGTCCGGTGTTCCGGGGGCAGCTGTACGGGTGTGAGGTGGCAATCAAGAAACTAGAAGCTGGGAGCGAGCAAGGGCCGGCAGAATTCCGCACAGAGGTGGAGGTGCTGAGTCGCGTGCGGCACCCCAATATAGTGCTGCTCATGGGGCAGTGTCCTGAAGAGGCTTGTATCGTGTATGAGTTCATGTCTGGCGGGGATCTGCAGCACAGGATTGTAGCCGGCTCTTCACCTGCCAAAATTGTAGCAGGAGCAGGAGCAGGGTCTGGTGGTGCTGCTGCTGGTGGAGGAGTGGCTGGAGGAGGAGGGGCACCGGTGGTGGCCCTGGACAAGCCGCGAGTCATCCCGCTCTCCTGGTCCGATCGCCTGCGCATTGCAGCAGAGATCTCCGGTGCGCTGCTGTTCCTGCACCGGCACGACCCGCCCATCCTGCACCGCGACTTAAAGCCCGACAACATCCTACTCGACGCCAACGGCACCAGCAAGATCGCCGACGTGGGGCTTGCAAGGCTCATCCCCGGGGATGATGGGCTGGGGCATGTGACTTGGAAGGTGCGGGGAACTGCGGGGTATATCGATCCTGAGGAGCTGAGCACGGGACAGCTGTCGGTGAAATCGGATATCTATGCGTTTGGGCTGATTGTGCTGCAGCTGCTGACGGGAAAGCGGAATGTGAAGCACCTGCATCGCATGCTGGAGGAGTGTGCGGCTGCAGCAGCAGCAGCAGCAGCAGCACCCCTGGAGCTCCGGCCTCCTCCCCGCTCTCCCCTCTCTCTGGCCTCTCCCACAACTCTTCCAGCAGCGGCAGCAGCGGCGGTGGCGGTCACGGGGAAGCCCGGGACATGAACAGAGTCCTGGCTGTGGTAACCAGCAACCTGGATCCCAACGCAGGGCGCTGGCCACTCGGGTTGGTGGAGCGGGTGGTGCGGGTGGCGGCGCGGTGTGTGGAGCGCAAGAGAGTGCACCGGCCGGACCTGCGCACGGTGGTGCACCCCGTGCTGGCAGATGTGGCTCGGCTGGCGGCAGAGGAGAAGGCGAGGAGGACTGCGGAGATCGAGGGCCAGTTGCTGTGCCCGCTGTCGCAGGTAGGCATGAGGGGGAGAGAGAGGAGGAGGGGCAGAGGAGGCGAGTGGTGCTTGTGTTGATCCTGATGAGGCAGGGTCATGGGCTGCTGATGAGGTACTTTCGCCTCCAGTACTGGCTGTTCTCGTGCCGGCCCATCCCCTCGTCTTTCTGCACTTTTCCTGCTGCCTCTTTCCACTCTTGCTCCCTCTCACCCTGTGGTCTCTCTTCCATTCTCTGTACGCCCCTCCTCTCCCGCCCAACCCTGGGTCGCAGGAGCGCATGACAGATCCTGTGGTGGCAGCAGACGGATTCACCTATGAGCGCCGCAGCATTGCTGATTGGCTGTCATCACACACTACCTCTCCGCTGACTGGAGAGCACATGCCGCACTCTCTTCTCACTCCCAACTACCTTCTTGCCCGCATGCTTAACAACTTGTAGTTACACTACTACTACCCCCTTATTGTCCTCACCCTCTGCCTCCCCTACACTTATTGCTACCGTATTCCTCGCTTGTCTCGCTGAGGAACAGCTGGCCAAATGAAAGCGAGGGCAATGGACATACCACTTGCATGAGTAGATGTATTGTAGGCTAGTAAGGCTTGAGTAGAGGTACCGGTATTGTATTGTTCTGGGGTTTGTTGCTTACAGGTTTATGTAATTTGATGCTATAACAAACCGTCTGAACGCCTGTTTCCATGTCATGGCTCAAGATCAGAGCGTGAGTGAAGCTGGTAGTGTGGACCTGTTTTCTGAATCATATACCGGTAGTGTGGACGAAGTCATGAATGTAATGTGGAGACTGTCCCTTATACTCATTGCCACATATGTTTAGAGGGGAACGAGGGGCAAGGAGGGGACACAGAAGCCAGCAAGATATTTGTAAAAGCAGATTTATTCACAGTGCTGGCTTCGGCATACAAGGTCTGAAACTGGAAACTCGGCTGCAATGGAGCAACGGAGTAAGCAGCAATGGAAAGCATGGCACCTGTAGTCACTAAAATGCCGAAACTATGAACATCACTGAACTTCCACTGTTGCCATGGACGTCGTTACATCGCTCGACGCATTCATAAACACTTCCTCATCTTGGGCCTCTTCATCAGCCTCTTCCACATCAGCAGGCTCCTGCTCGTCACCAATGTCTGCTTCTGCCTCGGCACTTCCGTTCAAAAGAGCGCGCGCCTGATCCAAAGTGTCTTCTGCGTCTTCCGTTGCGTAGAGAATCTTCAGCACGGCAGCGTTCTGTTACGACGGGAAGCAGAGGAGCATATTTGGAAGTGAGTCGTATTGCACAAGCGATGAACGCTTGTCCTGCCAAGGACAGTAATCCGAAAGATATAGGTGCACTGCGGCTCACCGGCAAAGTAGCATGACCAGGCGTTTGGCAGAGAAGTTCGATATCCCTGAGCTTGGTGAAGTAAAAATCCCGTTCCTTCTCAAGGCTGTCAATAGTCATCTTGTGTTCAGAAATCTGAACAAACAACGACGATAGTCATGAATAATATATTATCGGATTGATTCAAATGCTCTGCAGGCAGCGTTGCTTACCTGTTCTCGGAGCTCCTGGACCTGCTTGTCATACAGCTGGTAGTCAGATGTGTTCGGTGTAGTAGAGGTCCGGATGGCGGTTGTCCTTGCATTTCCTGCACAAAGGCAGCGATAGTCAGCGAAGGGGCCTTTAGATCTAAAAGAGCAATAATAATTGTTCCTTACTTACCTGCCGCTGGCTTGCTCATAGTCGGCTGCGCACGGGGTTGCACGCGAGGCCGAGAGGCAGCAGGTTGCGGAAACTTCCTCAACATCTCCTTCCCACCCTTAGAAGAGTTGCGGCGCTCCACAGGGTTGTAACTGCAACGCCATTAACGTGCGTCAGCGATAACTTACGATGGGCTTGAAGCATAATAAGCCATCCGGGTGCTCACCTAGGATCAATGACTCCCTTGCTGATGGTATCGCAATAACGTTTCATCCACTGCATGAACTCAAGGTTGTCCAGTGGGCGCCCTTTCACAAGCTTGTTCACCTCGATGTGCTGCACAAACAGAACGATGATAAGATCTCCTGCTTCGCCGGAAACGAGCCATCTGGGTGTTTGCACCACAGATTTGGAGAAAACACAGTACCTTGGCTATCTTCAGTTTGTCGAAGACATCCTGAAGAACCTTGTAATTCTGTATCATTTCGTACTCATTCTTCGCATCGTAGTTGACCTGCACGGCATCCAGTCACAAATTTAGTCGTATGCCTCCGTTTGCCGAAAATATCTTGAAAGTTTTAAAAATAGTCGTACTTTATGCATAGGGACGACATTCGGATAGATAGCGTCCATGAGCTGGCAGTGGATAGCCCCTGACGCTGCCTGCAGAAGGAGATTCAGAACGTCAGTATCATAACTCGAGCTTGCTAGACTTATGGTCAGCATACCACAAAGCCAGATTCTCCTACCTCTTCGACTTTCGTGATATTCAGCTGAAGAGTAGTATTAATCCATGCTAAGATGTCAGACCTAGATACGAAGTACGCTCCGTCCATAATGCCGATGTTAGCCATGGCTTCAGCCGGGATGGAAGCCGGAACAAGGTTGGAGAATACGTCACGTGGAAATGGGAGATGAGTGGAAGATCGAAACGAGGAGGTTGAGCGTTTTCAGAATGAATCACATGGCATTCCAGTTGGGGGGAGCTATGTTGTGGAAGCCTGAAGGGAGGTCCCCAAAATTGAGAGGTGGCATGTAACACGACGCGGGCCTGCCTGACATGAAAGTTGCCGAACCTGACTTCTCGTGCCGCGCGGGAAGACCGACTTTTCCAAGGTCATTAGGCCGGGGCATGGAGTCGCGGTGGAACTTCCCTCCCTCCCTGCCATGTCGCACGCACCGTCGCTAGCTGTTTTACGAAAATTGTCCCAACGCAGAACAGAAATCGCATAACTCAAACCTGCTTGACGGTCAACCAAACCTGTTTTTTTCCCGCCCCTCCCAAGCAAGGCAAGGGCTTGCTTCGGTAGTTCGTCAGACACTGTGCTTCGCTTCGCCTGAGACCATGCTACACGCTAACACATTGTTTCGAAAAATAACGCAATGCATATGTCCCAGCGAAAGTGCCACAAGAAGAGAGAGAGACAGCTTTGTTAGTTTCACTACCCCCTGAGAACTTAGGACACTCTAAAGCTCATACAGAGTACAGTTTCGTGGTACAAGTCTGCCCTGAGGGCTCAGGGTGCCCTAATACGAATCTGAGGTCCTGGCAGGCAATCACGAGTCACGACAAATAAACACATCCACAAAACATCAGCAGGCTTGCATCACAATCTACTCGGGTGGCCCAGCAGTATTGTAGCTGAGGAATAACTCGCCGCTGAAAAAACTCGTTACTTGTCCACCTCCCTGTCGCCGTCCTCTCTCAACACATAAAGCCTGCCTCCAAAAGCTTTGCAAAGCGCAATTGCGGCAGCTTCTACAGGATCCATATCATCAAACCTTCCATCCCTCTCAACATCATTCACGGGCCTCCCTGACTCAGCTCCAGGATCAGTCCTACTGAGAGCCCCATGGTCACTTGGCAAAGCCTTGGGCTGAAGCGCCCGAATCCTGCCACGCGGTGCAAAGGCCATGCGCCCGACCCCACCAGTGCTTCCCCCAACGTTTGAGCCACTGGTCCCACGACCAGCAGAAGCTGTGGCAACAATGGGACGCGTACCACGGCTGGGGGACACCCGGCCAGCAGCAGCAAGAGCAGCACCTTCTTCTCGCCGGCCAAAATCAGGGTTGCCTCTGAATCCCACACAGCCATCCATGGGATAAGCTGCGTCCATGCCAGTGTCAACTTCAGCAGCAGCAACTCTGGGAATGGCTTGAGCAGAAGTGCTACAGTTGTCAACGGAAGCCACAGCATTGGCCCTTTCAGCAGCTGGCTCCATATCAGCCCCTGCAGAAGAGGCAGGGGCAACTTCAATATCAGCTTTTGCTGCACCCACAGACTCCACATCAGACTCGGCTGCGCTGACGACCCCCACATCAGCACCTGCAGAACCCACAGCCTCCATAACAGATTCTGCTGCACCTACAGCCTCCATATCAGATTCTGCTGCACCTACAGCCTCCATATCAGATTCTGTTGCAGCCACAGCCTCCACATCAAATTCTGCTGCACCCACAGGCTCAAAAGCTCCTGCTTCACCAGGATCGTCCGACAAAGCAGCAGCAACACTGTCAGCCGAAGCAGCAGCAGCAGCAGCACCGTCCACCAAAGCAGCAGCAGCACTGTCTGCCAAAGCAGCAGCAGAAGGGTCAACCAAAGCCGCAGGAGCAACAACAGGGACAGCCTCAGAAGCGCGTTCAACATCCGTGGTCAAATCCTCTCCTTGTGCAACATCCCCTAGCAGACCCCCATCGATGATACCATGTCCCACACTAGCTTCCAGACTACCATGCACCATATCCTCCATCACATGACCATTCACAACCCCATTCACAAGAGCGCCATCTGCAGGGCCCTCCACAACTGCATCACCCCCTTGGCTCCCCACAAAAGCGCCATCAGCCTCCTCCTCGACTTCTGAGACAGAGATAGGCCCTGGCCGCGCATCATTGATCGATGGCTCATATTCATGGCTCAAACTCCCCGCTGTCATCTCACCGTCAGCCTCACCACCACCACCAAGAATGGCAGTTCCTGTTTCTTCATCGGGTGCAGGAGTTCCTGGCTGATCTGCCTCTGTGATTCCAGAATCCACCAAGTGCAACTCTGTTCCGTGCCCCACCGCTTCGGCGGAAATATCGTTGCTGCTGCTGCTGGCACTGGATGCTGCGTTTGAGCCAGCATTCACAGGGAGAGCTGTAGGCTCAGCATTCACCTGCGAGGGATCATGTATCGAAACCTCATTCGAGTCCCAGCCATCAGCATCAGCAGCACCACGGCCATGCTCTACCTCCGGCGGACCTGATTCTAACGACCCGGAACCTGCCTCAGCTTTCACATGGTCACTGCGATCATAGGAACCATGAGCACCCGCTGCTCCTGAAGATAAAACTGACGGCGGCGCCGCAGGTGCTACTTGCAACACATGCTGGCCCCCTTTTCTCTGGTTCTCTTGCCTGTCCACTGCTGGCCGTGCCGACATGGTTCTTCTAGCTACTACTGCAGCAGCAGCCTTGGCGGCAGCTGCCCGCAAATCGGCAGGCTGAGGGCTCTGGGGGTGGCTCTGCACCAAAGGCGGGGGCTGAATCAAGTGATCAGGCACAGCCTTCGCCCCACCTGCTTGCTCGTTCCTCCGAACTTCCTTGCCTTTGCCTTGTTGCGGACTCGCTACCACCAACGCCCTCTCCTCCTCGGGTACAGTCTGACTGACACCCTTCCTCGCTCTGCCTCTCCCCCCCTTCGAAACTGCGCCAGTCATGGCAGCAGTTGCAGCAGCAGCCGCCGCGGCTGCTACCCCCTCAGCGCTGGGTGCGGCCCCAGCAGAAGCCAGTGACCCTTTCGGAACTGCGCCAGCCATAGAAGAAACTGCAGGAGCCGCGGCTGCTGTCCCCTCAGCACTGGGTGCTCCCATAGCAGCAGCCCCCAATGACTCTTTGGTCATCAGCTGTATGGTCACCCGGCGGCCCCCAAGGGCCTTTGAGAAGGCTTCAGCGAAGCCTGGAATGATTGTCTTGCGCCTCCCGTCATTGAGCTTCTCAATCCACGCCTGGAGGAAGCTCAGCGTGACTGAGGGGGGGAAACGGAGGACCCAAAAGCGCAACAGGGGGGAAGGGGAGAAGGGGAGGGGAGAGAGGGGACGAAGGGAGGGGGTGGAAGACGCCAAATATGTGTGGGACTTGTAAAGAGAAGCGCTATGCAGGCGCAAATCGCTTGAGAGTGGGTTGTGAAGCTAGCTGAAACGGTTGAGGAAGCAGAAACTGTGCGTGCAAGAGGATTAGAAAGTGGGGACGGGGAGGAGAGGAGCGGGGACCATGGAAAATGGGGAGTAGCAGAAGGAAGAAACGGCATGCAGGAAACGCGGGCATGCAGTGTCAGAGCCCCCTTCAAGGGAGTAATCAACGAAGGGTACTTACCAGTAGTATCGGTGGCAGTGGTATCAGTGACAGCAACGATGCAGGCCTGTTGAGTGAACAGGGATCGCTGGTGGGGGGTCATCTCCGCCGTGGCTTTCCGTGCCAGCTCCCCCCACTCCCCCTCCGCCCATGAAGCTCCGCGTGGCGCAGCGGAGGGGCGGGGCGAGGAGGAGGGGGGGGGCGCGGAGGAGGTGGGGGCCGAGGAGGTGTGGGTGGAGGAGGAAGGGCGGGACGAGGAAGATAAAGAGGATGGGTGGGACGGAGCAGAGGAGGAGGGGGAGGCGACTGGGGACGGGGGTGAGGAGGAGGGCGGGCGGGGAGGAGTGGAGGCTGAGGGGGGGCCCGAGGAGGCAGGGGAGGAGGAGGGAGGTTGCGAGTTGGGAGAAGCATGCGGAGCAGGCCCGTGGACGGACCGGGGAGCTCCGGAGCGAGGCAACGACGAGGACGGATGGCTGGCGTCCGGGTGCGGGGTGAAACGAGCACCAGTCGGGTATGCAGTTGGCGACGGGAGCCAGGATTGAGAGGGAGGGGAGAGGGGAGTTTGCGCTGGTGCCATGGGAGAGGAAGGGGGGTGAGTTGGAGGCGAAGGAGAGGAGGAGGAAGCGGAGAAGAATGCGGCTGCAATCTGGAAGGAGTAGGGGTATTTCTTTAAGAGGAGAGGCAGCTCCACGAGGTATGATATGAACAACTTGATGTTGGTCGGTTCCTCTTTCTGCTGCTTCTCTGCCTCTCTTAACTCCTTCACTGCTGCTTGCAGCAGCGACCGGCCCTCTTCAGAAGCTGCAAAGAAAGGTGGCCAGAAGAGGGGCGGCAAGGCGAGAGAGCAAGAAACAATAAAACCAAACAGGGAGGCGTAGAAGAAGAACGAAAAGTACAGGAGGTGAGTACAAGTCTAGTCCAGACTGCTCAGTCGCGTCCCAAAACGAGGAAAGAACCCACTGGCACTGCACGAAAGAACCTACCGGCGATGAAATCGAGCTGCCGATTAGCGTGCTTGCGCGTGAGGGCGTCAGTGGCGGATTCCCTGAGCTGGCGCAGCACCTGCGTGAACGCCACTCCCCTGCCCGCGAGATCCGCCGCCCAATCCGCCACCTCCTTGGGCCGCGCGTCGCTCAGCGCGTGCACCAGCATCGCCCCCGCCTTCCACTGCGGTAACCGCCCGAACTGGCACGCGGATAGATGGAGGGGCGCGGGGATACGAGAGGGGAGAGAAGAGTGGGTGAGGAGGGGAGAGTGAGGGAGCAGAGGAGAGTGAGGGAGGAGAAAGGGGTGGAGGACGGGGGAAGAGTGGCGCCAAAGAAAAGTAAGGGAATGTTTACAACAAAAGTTCGTGAGGGAGACGAGGATGAGGGGGAGGATGGTAAGTGTGGGGAGAAAAAGGGGGGAGAATCACGCGTGAGAGCGACAAGAGAGAGGAATCCCCTTCCCTTAACCTACCCGTCTTCCCTTTCCGTCCCTTTTCCCCCTCCCCGCCCCTCCCCGCCCCTCCCGCGCCCCTCCCGCCCCCTCCCCCCTTCCTCCCGTCCCTTTTCCCCCGTCCCTCCACACACGCACATGGTCGAGCACCAGATCCCCCGTGATCCGCTTCTTCAGCAGGCTCAGCTGCTGCAGGATCTTCTTCGCGTCGCGCATCGACCCCGCCGCCTCCTCCGCAATCGCGCGCAGCCCGTCACCAGAGACCTGCCACCGCTTCATCTGCGCGATTCGCCGCAGGTCCTTCACCATGACGTCGTTGTGCACGGGCAAGAACTCCAGCTCTTGGCAGCGCGACTTGATGTTGCCGGGCACCTGCTCCGGGTCGGTGGTGACGAGGATGAACACGGGGTCGCCAACCGGCTTTTCCAGCGTATCCAGCAGCGTCGCCCAAGCGTCTCTCGTAAGCATGTGGCACTCGTCAAGAATGTGCACAATCCGCGTGCCCCCCGTTGTCGGCGGCGTTGTGGGCGGCGTTGCGGGCGGCGTGGTCGGCGGTGCCTCCCCCTCCGCGGTCTTCTTCACGTCGTCCACGATCTTCCTCGCAACCGCCACGCCGCGTTTGCTCGCCGCGTCGATCTCCACCACGACTTCGCTCGTCCCGTCCGCCACGGCGCGGCAGCTCGCGCACTTCCCGCCGCACGGGTTCCCGTCACCAGGCTTCCGCGCGGAGCAGTGGAGCGCGGAAGCGAGGATGCGCGCAGCGGAGGTTTTCCCCGTGCCATACGGGCCTTTAAAGAGGTACGCGGAAACGACTTGATTATCGGCCACGGCGGCTTTTAAAAGATCCACCGTTTTATCCTGCCCGATTACCTCGTCGAATCGCATGGGTCGCGTCTCCCTGTTAATGTCCACCGCGGCGGCTCGGGAAGTGTCGGCATCGCTAGGAGCTTCGTTAGTCGCGCCGTTGAGGGATTCGTGGTGGTCTTCTCGACTCACAACGTTGAGAACTCCGTTAGCGGAGGTCGTTACGCCAAGGGCTTTCTCTTCGAGAAAGCTGGCACGAGACGAATCGAGACCCACGAAAGGGGTTGAGCGGCCTCCATCGTCCGCCCTGCCACGTCTTTCTCTAGTGGTGAGTGCGCGACCGTCGCTGACAGCTGATCCGCCATACTCCGCAGCAGTCGGCAGGGACTGAGCTAACGGCGACGGCGCACGTTGCGCGAAGCCTGGGAGCCAGGTTTCCGGAGAGCGACCCGCGGAAGCGGCGGAGGCTGCGGAGGAGAAGGGCTGGCGGGTGGTGGTTAGCGCGAGGAGCCCGCGCGGGAACTGCCAGGAGCGGAGCGACAGTAGCGCGGAGAGTGAGGAAAAGGCGAGGGATCTTGATGGGTAGAGCAGCATGAGGGTAGGCCCGACTTGCACCCTCTCACATGCCAACGGGTGGATTGCGTAGAGCTGGGAGGAGTGAAAGCAGCAGCGGAGAGTACCGGACGACGAGGGGAGAGAGAAAGTCACCCAGTTACTACTAAGCCGGCCGTCTGGGTTGAGGGGGTATCTAGGAGTACGCGGAGAGTACTGAGGAGTAGAGGAAGGTGCGGGGGACTTTGGTGGGGTTCTGACTACTAGAGCCGTGGCAGAAGACATCGCCATCTGTGGTTAGACTTGGAGCTCGTACTGCGGGAGCCGGGCCGTTGTTGCAACATCAAGACAAGCTCATGAGGTCAGGAGGCTAGTAAACACGCTTCTTACGATGACACACAAAAGGATAAACGTAGGGAAGGAGCGTGCCGCTGTGTTTATGCTGAGGAGCAATGGAGGTGGCGTTGGATGGAAGAGACCGCATCACCAGGAGCGAAGTTCCACCCTATAGTTCGTGTTGATCGAGATTGACGAAGCTATCACAGCCACCAGCAAAGGAGGAGACGAAAAGCCTAGAGCATGAAAATCGAGGTGGGTGATACTTGTATTCTCGCTGCAACAGGTCTCGATTAAAAATCTCAAATCTGTAATGTTTGAATCAGCAACCGCACAAGCTACTGTATTTACATAAATGCATCGATAAGCGAGATTTGGTGCTGCGCATGTACGTCATATAGGAACACCTATTGTCAAAATCACATCACCACATTCTGGGGCCTAGATTCCTCATCCATCCAATCAGGAAATAATTTCTTCCTTGACTGATGCGAATCTCTTCATACTCTTGACATTTATACGCAGAACATCCTGCCTGCCCGAAGAGTTCCCGGGGAACACGGGAGTCCCGATACAACTCTTCTGGTCGCCGTGGGCGGCAAGTGGTGATGCGTGTAGATGTGGTCGCCAAGGGGGGAATGTATCAAGCTGCAAATTTCAGGCAAGCGCAGCAAAGGTGTCATGGCACGGTTCGTCAGGATCAGGAATCAGATAAGCACGAGGTATTGCTTTCCTGCTGCGCCAGTTTCTGTTCGGGAAAGCTGGTCACTTCAAGGTCCACCTGAATTGCTATCATCCACTCACAAGTCCGGCTTGCTCTGTCATCCAGCCCGCTTGTGAATCGTGCTGCCTCGCTGGCTGCTTCTACCAATCAATCAGCTCGCCCGCAGCAGCCTTAGCAAGCCGGCCGTGCGTACCACATCCAGTTATGGCGACGACTCTCTCCGCCAGTCGTGCCGCGATGCCCGCTCTCCACCTCCACGGCTCCATCGCCTCGCTTCCTCCTCGGGCCAGAACCGGACTCTCTGCGCCGAACTCATATTCGCCATTGATCCGTCCTCGTTCATTGCTCTCCGCGAAGCAGCCCAGAGCCTTCAGACGCAGCGGCCTGATCGGCTCTCGGAGCAATGTGCGGCGCTGCGTGCAAGCGAGCAGCGGGAACGACGGATCGCCTTCTGGCACGCCAAACACCTCGATCAATCTACATTCCACTGCTTCGAACGCGTCGGAATCGCAGGCGAGATCAGTGAATGCAGCTGGCGGTAACGCCGGAAACGATGCGAAAACATCTACTAATGTCGCCGGCAGTAATGCGTTCTCCGTTGTTGCATCTTCTGCTGTAGCCTGTCTCGCGTCCGTCCTCCTCGCGACCACCGCTATCACCGGCGTCTCTCCCGGCGCCGTCGCGCCCGCTCTGGCCGAAGAGCCCGCCGCCGCCGCGTCCGCATTCGGCAGGGCATTCAGCGCCCGACTGGACAACCTCCTGCCGTTCCTCACCAGCGCCGGACTGAACGGCGCGATTGACGACACCGACGCGGACAATGGCGCGTACGCGGAGGAGCTGAGCGCGCTGGGGACCGTGGGGGAGCTTGCGCGCGTGGCGGAGTTTGCGCCGGTGGGCGGAGCGTCGGTGGCGGAGGAGTACATTCGGCCGGGGCACCGACCGGACCTGCCCATGAGCAGCCCTCTGTTCGGCCCCGCGAGGCAGGCCGACGAGCCGCAGCAGGTGGGCGATCAGTCACTCACGTAGCGACATAACAATGCAGCAATGCAGCCCTTCGGCAATGCAGCTACTTAGCAATTTAGCAATGTTGCTGGTGGGTTGTAGCAAATTTGATGCCTTGGCACATCGGACATAACAATGCAGCTTCTAAGACCCTCAACTGCAAGGCTGACTCTGCCCATCACCCCCTCCACGCGAACCTGGAACCCGCGGTGTCTCTTAGTGCCTCTCTATTCCCCCCTGCACCCCTCCTTTCCCCACTGTGCCTCTATGCGCTCCCCTGCACTTTCCCCCGTGCATCTCCCCCGTGCATCTCCCCCGCGCGCACTTCCCCCGCGTGCACTTCCCCCCCGTGCCTCCCCCGCGTGCCTCCCCCGCATGCCTCCTCCGCATGCCTCCCCCGCATGCCTCCCCCGCATGCCTCCCCCGCATGCCTCCCCCGCATGCCTCCCCCGCGTGCACCTCCCCCGCGTGCACCTCCCCCGCGGGCACCTCCCTGTGGCAGGTGCACATCAGCCTGGCAGGGCCTGGCGCCATGCGGGTAACGTGGGTGACGATGGACGGTGCAGCACCTGCAGTGGTGCAATACGGTGACGCGCCAGGGCGCTACACGCACACTGTCACGGGCACCACCACCAAATATAGCTTCCTCTTCTACCGGTGAGCTCACCTGCACCATCTGGTCCGCACAGCCCAGCGCTCACATACAACCTCTCATGAAGTACCCGTCTTTCCAGCCCTGCCTCGCTCCCGCTCTTCCTCCACCGTCCCACCCATTACTCCCCCCAGCCCACCTTTCTCCCCTCTCCCTCCTCCCACTCCCCCCGTCCCACCACCTTCTGTCGCATCTTGGTTTACTTGTGAAACGTAAGCCTTGCAAACTACCCAGTGCCCCTCCTTTTGCCCGTTTCTCTCTCTTGTCCTCTCTTTCCCCGCTTTCCTCCCCCATCCCCCCTCCTTTTGCCTGTTCCCTCGCATCTTGTCTACGTTCCAAACCTTAAGCCACCCCTTGGTGTCACCAATGCCATGCCCCCCATCCAGGTCGGGGTTCATCCACACAGCAGTCATTGGCGGCCCAGAGCAGCCCCTCGCCCCCAACACCGTCTACTACTACCGCGTCGGCACTACAGACACCACCGCTGAGGTGTCCCAGCCTGCTGCAGCGGCTGCTGACGTGGCAACAGTAGGGTCGAGCAATGCTGCGTCGCCTGCCGCGCTTTCCTTTGTGTCAAATGCAGCGGGTAGCGGCAGCAGCAGCGGCGGTGCGGGGCAAGCGGATTTGATCAGCAGTGGGAGGGGCATCGTGGGGAGTGGGTTCACGGAGCGGTCCTTCAAGACCCCGCCTGCTGACCCCTCAGACTCCATCAACATCGCCATTGTTGGTCAGTGTCGCCCCTCTCCCACATCTTGCCTGCCGGGGCTTCCCCCACCCACATCACGTCACATGTGCTGGCTTGCCAAGGGAAATGTTGTTAGACTACCAATAGTTGGTAACACATCTGGTATTTTGCAGCTTCTGGACGTACACTCACTCCCACCATGCACGAGAATGAACAGCATCCCTTCCCATCCCCTCTCGCCCATGCCCACCCCCTGGCATCTCCAGGTGACATGGGGCAGACGGGGTGGACGGTGTCAACGCTGGACCACATAGCCCAGCAGCCGCACGACCTGCTCGTGCTCCCCGGGGACCTCTCCTACGCCGACGCCTACCAACCCCGCTGGGACACGTGGCAGAACCTCATTGAGCCGCTGGCAAGCGCGCGCCCGTGGATGGTGATCCCGGGGAACCACGAGATAGAGAGCCTGCCGGGGCTGGTGCGGCCGTTCACGGCGTACAATGCGCGCTGGACCATGCCGGCTGCTGAGAGCGCGTCGCCCTCCAACCTGTTCTACTCGTTTGAGAGTGCCGGCGTGCACTGGGTCATGCTCAACTCCTACTCCGACTTTGAACCGGACTCTGTTCAGGGACAGTGGCTCAAGGTGAGGGGTGAGGGGGGTGAGCGGTGCTGCTCATGGGATACCTGTCGGCAACAGCAACTTTTCTCTGTTCTCTTGCATGTTCTATTCTCATTCTTTTTCCTTCAAAGCTTCCCACCCACCTGCACTCTTGCTGTCCATCCATCCTTGTGCAACGCGGAACTCCCTCTCAGAGCGACCTGGCGCAGGTGGACCGGTCGCGCACGCCGTGGCTGGTGGCGGTGGTGCATGCGCCGTGGTACAACAGCAACACGGCGCACCAGCTGGAGGCGGAGCCCATGCGCCGCGCTCTCGAGCGCGTGCTCTATGATGCACGCACCGACATGGTGTTTGCCGGCCACGTGCACGCCTACGAGCGCACGGTAAGAGCAGTGCCGCACACGGGGATTTCACATTTCACCCTGGCTGCTGTGCTGGGGTTCTATGAGTGTTGTCCATCGAGGGTGCTCAGATGCAGCATAAAGCACTTCCATGCAGTCTTTTCGGGCAACACTTAATGCACGTGCAATCCCTCGCATGTATGTCTTCCCCCCCCCCTGTGCCCTCCTTGCTGTGCCTGCTGGCAGGAGCGGGTGTTTAACGAGAAAGTGGATCCGTGTGGTCCTATTCACATCACCATTGGGGATGGCGGCAATAAGGAGGGCCTTGCCACCAGGTATGCGTTGCAGCGTTAGCTGCCTTGTTTCATGCTCTGCTGTTATATCTGCTGCACTGGTTACGGCTTGCAACAACCAGGTGGCGCAATAACACTGTCCCACCTTTTTTATGCAGAATGCCATCGAATGTGTTTTACGATTGTTGCAATCTCTGCATTCACCACCCACCACATTATCAGCCTATATGTCAGCCTTTGAACATGGATTTCAACGTTACTTTCCACGTTCTATTCTAACCTCTCCCCACATGTACCAGGTATCTGTCTCCCTCTCCCGAGTGGTCCATCTTCCGAGAAGCTTCCTTCGGTCATGGGGAGCTCAAGATCTTTGGGAAGCAAAAGCAAGCCCCAGATGGATCGGAAGGGGCAGAAGTTGCATACGGGGAGGCAGAGTGGGTGTGGCATCGCAACGATGACGATGAATCAATGGTGCGAGACAGTGTGAGGGTTGTCAGTTTTGCTAGTGAGAAGGCACCTGCTCAGTGCAGGCCTGCCACAGCTCCCAGCTAAAGTATCCCCCATGCGCAGGTTCATTGTCTGCTGGGGAAAAAAAAGCCAATTAATTTCGTAAATTGTTGAGCAATGTCACTTAAAATTAGCTCTATTGAATTTTTGTTAAAAACTATGTTGGCGTCTTTTTGTTTTAGTGATGCATGTGAAAGCTAGTGATTCAGCCAGCCTGTTGACTTATTGCTATCCTCATTTGCAGCTCTCAAGTCATACACATCAACATTCAAGGTGTAGAGAAGCTTATGATTGTATAGGGATCTCAAGTCTGTGCTGCGAGGGAAGCTGTTGCTTTCACCCAGTGACCGACCTGGCTGCCCCCAAGGCCACGTATTTCGCGCCCGTCATTTCGTGAGGGCTGACCCCCGCTGACGACAGCTGACGACTTCATCGAGCTTGCCTCTCCAATTCGTGACCCCGCGAGGAGGTGTAACAGCAAAGCAAACCAACACCAAGGAGCTCTGTCATCTCTTTCCTTACCTGTTTCTCCCGTCCGTTTGCCTTCGTCACAAGTTGTCGACACGAAAGTGCGCGACAGAGCGCAAGTGACGACAAGGCAGGACAGGACGCGACGAAGCGCAAATCCCCTTACAGATTGGCTGGCGTCTCCTCCACCCCTTCCTGCTCCCCGTCATTCGTCAGCAGCAGGGATCAACCCACACGACACGAGTAGATTCCGGGTGCTTGCACGACATGCGTGGCGGGTGTTATCGTCCGATTCAGGCTCCAAGTTATATATATGGGTCTCCTGATCGGAGTTGGGTTGTGTTGTTCAACCAACATTAGTTCATATTCCTTGCAGCCTCCACCAGCATTTGATCGAAGCGTTTCTACGGATAGCAATCACTCAGGAAGCTAAGACTAGTGCGGGGTTTGTTCCTGTTTTGGCAAGCAAATAGTGGCAACTCGTGGAACCAATGGAGGAGGATCACGGTAAACTTAGATCGAGCTCCTTCCGCCGGCGTCGGGAAGCCATGCGGGTTTTCCACGCTATAGACGCGAATGGCGACGGAATGATCTCACAGAAAGAGCTCTCCGAGGTGCTGGAGAAGCTAGGTAATCGCAACTCGACATTGGCGAAAACCATGATTCAATCTGCCGATCAAAACGGCGATGACATGATCGACTTCGAGGAGTTCCTGCAAGCTGCGCGGTTCAACCACCACGGCTCGTGTCTCTGCTCACCCAGCCACGCGTCGGACTCGTCGGAAGAGATCTCGTCAGCGGCTTGCGATTTGGAAGAAGAGGAGGAGGAAATCGACCTGGCGAAGGCCTTCGCTGTGTTCGATAGGGACGGCAATGGGACGATAGGAGCGGAGGAGCTTCAGAAGGCCATACGCGACCTTAGCGGAGAGACTCTGTCCGTTGAGGATTGCAAGCGCATGATTGCGCGGGTTGACTCTAACGGGGATGGCTTGGTTGATTTTGGAGAGTTTTCCAAGATGATGGAGGGGGTGTTTGGATAATCAATGGGTGTGAGAGGTGAATGTTGATGGTAGGGTCAAGCCCAAATTGTAGAGTTCTGCTCATTGCTCTGTATTTAGTACTCGTTATTAATGGCTTCTTGTAGTACCTTACTGTATTTGAATGTTGCTGTGGAAAGTTGATTATAGATTTGTCATTTGTTCACTGCCTGACAATGGACATGGCGCATGCACGTGTGCTAGTAAAAGTGGGCTAGCGAAATCCTTTCAAGCCATTCCCTAAGATGGTCACATGATAGTAAAGCAGAAGGCTGCGCTTCCGAAAGCAGCCTGGGACCTTACCAGCACAGCATAGGGCCCAGCTGCAATCCCATACGTGCCAGCCACATGCCCAGGCACATGTCGACACATGTCCCAACACATGCCCAGGCACTTGCACTCGAGCAATACACCGCCAGGAATGCCAGTGGCACCGCTAGGCACTACCACTCCACCAGACCTGCTCAGGCTGCACTGCAGTCTGGAAGCGGGAGAACAGTGCATGCTGCTGGAGAGAGTGAGCAGTGGCACCACATGGCACCATGGGATGGCACCACAGCAGAGCATGCAGGGGGCGAGAGTGAGTGAGTGAGCCTAGGAAAGCGCGACGAAGGGTTGGTGTGTGGTGGAGTGTTGATTTCTCAAAAGAAATCGAGGTGCAAAGGAATGAACCATGTGGTTGGCTGCTGCTCAGAAGATGGGGAATCTACGGGTGGGTGGCTGCTGCGGCTGCTGAGGGTTCTCCTGCTCCTCTCCCTAGCGTCACATGGGAAGTGGGGAAGCATGGGTGATGGTGCGTCAGTCACAGAAAATCACTCATGGGTGAATAGAACTGAGCGGCAAAGATGGCGAAAGGAATTGGAAATGAAAGAAACACACACTGGGTTGAGAGAGTTAAGTGTAGAAATGAATGCGGACAAGGGAAGGTTGAACGGGGCATAGGGGAAAAGATTCTGGGCGTTGGTAGGAAGGCACAGGCATGGGAAGTGGATGGACGGGTAAGAATGGGAGCGTACAAAGGAGGTGTCCTCAGCAATGCCGAGCGGCAGGTGGAGCGGCACAGCGCGGTTATGCTGCAACACTCGCAGCTTGCCCTCCTGGATGGGGGGAGCGGGGTGGGTTGGCAGGGGGAGGTGGAAAAGAAAGTGCAGAGAGGACGTGAAGAAAGGAGGGAAGAAGTGTGTGAGGAGGAGAGAAATGGGAGTGAGTGGCTGGAATGAGCAGATGCAGGCGAGGGCAGGCACGTGCTTGAGATGCAGATGCAGAGCTGCTGAAGCAGTGCAGAGTACTGCTTTCAGGGCACTCGAGTGATGTGTGCAACGATTGATAGAACGACAGTGCGTTGATGAGATATATAGGTTGCGGGGAGAGCCAAAAGGGGGCGATGGCAACGACAGAGAGGGGCGCTAGTAGAACACGAGGAAAACGTGAGTAGAGTGCAAGGTTGAGGAGAGGATACCTTGGTGCCGTAGACCAGCCCCCCACCGACTTTGGGATGGAAGCAAGCCACGTTGACCTGTGTGGGTGGACAGGCAGGCATGCAGGCAGGCACGCAGGGAGGTATGCAGGCAGGCATGCAGGCAGGCATGCAGGGAGGTATGCAGGCAGGCATGCAGGCAGGCATGCAGGCAGGCATGCAGGGAGGTATGCAGGCAGGCATGCAGGCAGGCATGCAGGCAGGCATGCAGGGAGGCACAGGACGTATGAAGAAATGTAGCTTGGCAAGTGAACGGCAACCAGAGTACACTTGTGGTGAGTGGAAGACGAGGGAGTAAACAGAAGACAGCCGAGAGGGAACCAGAGAGAGCGGGAGAGAGAGAGGGAGGGATGGGGGTAGGGGGGTGTAGGGAAGGAACAACTGAGATGGAGGAGAGAGTGAAAGAGGAGGAAGCATAATGGGGTTACCTCGTCTTCTGCACTGGCAAGAATCTGCACAAGAGACATGTCAGAGACTCGATACACCTGCATGCACCATGCACGCCATACACACATGCAGCCATGCAGCCATGCACCCATGCAGCCATACACATGCACCCATAAACAGCGAGCACACAGAGTCCGACAGGAACACACAGCACAATGCAAGCCAAGACAACACACGCACACACACACACACACAGACACGGGCAGCACACAATACATGCATGAGAAGACAGCATGTACATATATGCCCGAGCAGGTTATACATCTTAATAGCAGCAGGAGGTGCAATGACCTGACAGCAGACTGCTAACACCCGACAGGAGCAGAGCCAAGGGCAGGGCAGGGAACAAACGGGACGGGGAAGGCACCGAACAGGAAGGGCAGAGAAGGGAACGAACGGGAATGGGAGGGAAGGGAGGGAGGGAAGGGGAGGGAAAGGGAGGGAAGGGCAGAGAAGGGGAGGGAGGAGCAGGGAAGAGCAGAGAAGGGGAGGGAGGAGCAGGGAAGGGCAGAGAAGGGGAGGGAAGGGGAGAGGGAAAGGGAAAGGCGGACCTCAAGAATTGTGTAGACGGGGACGATGGAGGCCCCATCCGCCACGAGACTGCGCAACAGCGAGCCGTGGCGACGCCCGTACGCCAGCAGCAGATGGCAGGACGTGGGGGAGAACTGCAGGGCGGGGGGAATGCGTGAGGAAGGGATGCAGATGCAGTGTGGGGATACATGGTGAGGCCATGGCAACGGGGGGGAATCACTTGTGAGAATTCTCAAACGCAGGAGATGGCGGGACGTGGGTGTGAACTGCAGGGCGGGGGGAGAGGCAGCGCGAAGATGCATGGTGGGGCCATGGCAGGGATGTATGGCATTGAGGTTGGGCATGGGAATGAGAATGGGGAAGGCAGGGGAATCGGGCAGGGAAAGTGGGAAGGGGAATCAGGATCGGAGCGGGAACAGGAACGGAAACGGGAAGGACAGCGGGGAAGGCACGGGGAGGGAGCGAGGGTTGAGCGAAAAGAAAGGGAGTGGCAGTCAGTTTGGACTTTAGTGGGTGGGGCTCGGCTAGAATGGGAGAGCAATGGCGAGGGAGAACATTGAGTAGGAAAGAGACTGCGGTAGGTGGAGAAAGTGGAAAGAGAGAGGTGTTGTTGGTTACCTGGATGGATGTGAGGCAATGCGCTGCTCGTATGGCTCGACATGCAAGGACTTGCCCGAAGCTGCAAGTAGAGACGACAGATACGGCAGGGACAGGGGCAGGGACACGGGGAAGGGACAGGGGCAGGGGAAGGGACACGGGAAGGAACAGGGGCAGGGGAAGGGACCGGGAGAGGGTCAGGGGAAGGTTCAGGCGGAGGGGGGAGGGTCAGTGGGAAGGTCAGGAGGAGGGTCAGGGGGAGGGACACGGGCGGAGACAGGGCGAGGAAACAATACATCAGATGACTTCATGGCAGCACATGGACAGTCGATGCAGGAAACAGGAACACACGCGAATGCGGGCTAGAAAACTCATAGAATACAACAAATCGACGAATGGGAAACCGTGGGAAGTCTTATTGGGGAAGAGAGAGGGAACGAGGGGTGCAGTGCAGGCAGAGAAGAGAGGGTCCGGGGCGAAGAGAAGCAAACAACTAGGCGGAGCGGAGGAACCGGGGCGTGGAGTGTGGAGAGTGAGCAACGTACGTGGCATCTTCAAGGGAGTAGACCCTGAGCTCATATATGACTTGATGTGCCACTGCAGCATTGCTGCTGCTGCTGCCCGCCCCTCCACTCCCACCACCACGACCCCCTCCCCCTGCCCCGCCGTGCTCCACATTCCCGCCAGCACCACTAGCTCCCGCATCTGTGCCCGCTCTTGATCGCCGTATCGCATTGCCCCCCACTGCCCCTGCCCCCCCCGCACTCGCTGCGTCGCCCCTACCCTCCTCTGCAGTTGTACCTCCCCCAGTTGGCCCCCGTCCCTCCAGGTCGCTCCCCCCTGCTGCTACTCTAGAAAAAAGCCCTGCCGTCCTTCCACCCACTGTTCTCGCTGACACCCCGCCCCCTGCTGCTGCTGCTGACGCCTCCGCTGCTCCTGCTCCTGCTGCTGTGTTCCCAGCAGCGCCGGCACCAGCAGCAGCAGCAGCGGCAGCAGCAGCAGCAGCGGCGGCGGCAGCAGCAGCCCCTCTTCCCGTGACCCAAGCTGCGAGACGTGATGTGGCAGTGGTCACAGCTCCCATTCCGCCTCCCACGGCCAAACCCACTGCCCCACTCACCCCTGCCAGCCCTGCTCCAATCCCCCCTCCTGCCCCTCCGCTTGCACCCCTTCCATAGCCCGGCTCCCTGCTTCTGCCACCAGCAGACCCAGCACCAGTACCAGCATCAGCAGCAGTAGAAGCAGCAGTGTTATTAGCGTTGGCAGCAAGTGCATCAAGAGCAGCAACTGCATCAGCGGCAGCAGCAATAGTGGCAGCAGCACTGGTGCCACCCTCTCGAATCCCTTGCCCTTCTGCTGCTTCTGCTGCCACTACTGATGCCACTGCCCCAGGAGCCCCACCCTCACCACCACCAGCACCCACATTAGCAGCAGCACCATCCGTCTCTACAATGTGCAATTCCCCCTGCCCCTGCCCCTGCCCCTGCCCCTGCCCCTGCCCCTGCCCCTGCCCCTGCTGCCAGCCAGAGTTCACTTCCAGAGGGGAAGGGCTGCGCCGCCGGTCCCCTGGCGACAGCCGAGCAGCTACGGAGCTATTGCTATGCCATCACCACCCACCGCCCCTCTTGCTACAGCGCTACCCCCGCTACAGCCCCCCACCATCCCCTCCTCCCCCTCCTCCTCCTGCCAGTCCTGCTGCTCCTGCCGCTCTTGCTGCTGCTCCTGCCGGTTCCGACGCTGCTGCTCCCAACCCCCGGCCTTGCATCCCAGCGCGACTGTGCACAGCAGACGCACGAGCAGCAGCGGCTGCAGCGGCGGCGGAAGAGGCAGCGACGGCTGCTGCAGCAGCGGCTGTGGTGGTGGTGGTGGTGGCAGTGGCAGGGGCGTTGGTGGGTCGAGCATGCGAGGGGTGTTGGTTGGTGGAGGAGGAGCGAGCAGCAGTGGCTGCAGCAGCTGCAGCAGCAGCGGCAGGCGGCACGCATGCCACACAGGCAGCGAGGTAGCGGCCACAGGGAGAGAAGTGCGCACCCATCTCACTGGGAAAGGGAGGGATGGAGGGTTGAGGGTGAGCGGGAATCGCGCGATAAGGGGGGAGAGGAGTGGAGGGGGAGAGGTGCGAACGGGAGAGGGGCAAGAGAGGGTAGAGGGGCGAGAGTGAAACAAGAAGTTGGGGTCAGAGGGAGGGGAAAGTGAGAGAGGGAGAGCAGAGCAGAGCCACATTCGTGTATCGCCTTCTTCCACCTTCAAACACACATCCGCACGCCCACACACCCCAACAATCCCCCCACACACCAACACAGCATCACCCAAACACGCCCACGTGCACGCCCACCCACGCACATACCTGCAGAGCACGGCGTGTGGCACGGTGAGGCGGCAGCTGTCAGGGTCGAGGGGGCTGCTGGGGCGGCTGATGTGGTGCCGCCACACCTTGAGCTTCACCGTGCAGGGGATCTCAGGCGTCGGCTGACTCGCCTGCAGCAGTGGGTGCTGCAGCTGCGCCAAGGGAAACCGCTGCACCTGCTGCGGCTGCGCCTGAGGCTGTGCCTGCTGTGCCTGCTGCTGCTGCGGCGGTGGAGGCTGTGCCTGTTGCTGTTGCTGCTGCTGCTGCTGCTGCTGCGGCTGTTGCTGCTGCTGCGGCTCTGGCAGTGGCTGCTGCTGCTGCTGCACCACCAAAAGCTCCTGTTCGCACTCTGCCTGTGCACGCTCCACATCTCGTACAGCACAAGCGCGGTTGCCCCCGGTCCCCACGCTCAACCTCGCACCACCTGCTGCGCTGCCCTCTCCTCCCTCTCGACCACCACCACCACCATCAACATCAGCACTATCATCGTCCCTCCCCTCACCCACCCTCCCCTCTTGTGCGCTTGGCCTAGAGCCTCCTGCAGCCTCCTCTACTTGCGTTGCCGGGGCATGAGCAGCATGAGAAGCATGCGCAGCATCGGCATGCGACCCACGCAGGCACACAGCGCACATGCTCTCTGTCACTGCCTCACATGCGGCATCCACCCCCCTCTCAGCTGCTTCTTCTCCCGCTGCACCCGCTGTAGTGGCACCTGCGGCAGCATCTACTGCTGCATCTGGCGCTGCCCCTGCTATCTCTACTGTCGCGTCTGCCCCTGCTGCTCCCGGAACTGCATGACTCTGTGCTGTTGGAACACCAGCAATCCCAGCAAGATCACCAGAACCCGACCTTCTACCTCCCAAGTCCCCACCTGCACTGTCTGCTTCATGCTCCTCGTCCCCACTCACTCTCCCAACCCCTCCCTCGCTACCCTCCCCACCCCTGATTCCACTTCCTCCTCCAGTCTCTTCCCCTCTTTCTTCCCCGTTTGTCCCCCGTGGCTGGTCCCTATCGCTCTCCCTCTGTCCATCCATTCCCGGAGCATCCTCACCAGCATCGCCGCCTCCCTCCACCTCCTCCCTTACACCACTCACAGGACCCATGTCCCTTGCCCTCCCTCCCCCCGCCACATCAGCAGCCACGTCCGTAGCCACGTTGGCAGCCACGTCAGCAGCCTCAGCCTCATCCCTGCCCTCAGCAACACTGCCACGCCATCCACTCCCACGCGCCTCCCCCACTATCTCCTCCCTCCTCCGTCTCCCTTCGCCTTCCCCCCTCCTCCCCACCACTTCCCTTCCTCCTGCCACCGTTCCATTCTGCTCCTCCCTTTCCCCTGGACCGCCATTCCCATCACCTGCAGCAGGTCTCACAGCATCATCCCCATTCACCTGTCCCGCACTCACATTCCCGCCCGTCCCTCCCCTTCCACTTCCCTCTGTCCCTCGTGCCCTTCCCAGTGCCCCCACTGCTGCTCCTGCAGCTTCCGCACCCACCCCACCTGCTCCTGCCTCTCCTGCTCCCCTTCCTCGTGCCCCTCCCCCACCACCTCCTCCACCCCCGCCCCCTGCCCCGCCCGCGCCCCCTTCCCCCGCGCCCGCCATCCAGAACCAGCTTTGCCACTGCGCGAGGGGGAAGGGGGGCGTGGCGGGGAGAGTAACGCCTGCAGTGGCAGCAGAGGCGGCGAGTGTGGTGTCAGCAGCGGCGGGGTTGAAGTGGAAGGAGGGCGGCGGGTAGTGCACGTAGCCCGAAGAGAGTGCCTCTGTGGGCGTGCAATCTGCTGAGTCTAGATCGTTCACCTGACAGGGGGAATGAAGGGGGATGGGGAGGAGGGAGGTAGAAAAGGAGAAGGAGGAGGGGGGGGGAGAGAGCAGGGAGAGATTAGTGTGAGGGTTGTTGAGAGAAATAGGAGGGGGCATATGAGGGGAGGACGCTAAGGGGGGTGAGCTGACGAGAAAGTGCAAGAGGAGAAAAAAGGCGAGCTGAGAGAACGTCACAAGGGGGGGAGGAAAGGAGAGGAGACAGGGAATAGCAGCAGCAGGGCAGGGCAGTGCAGTGCAGGGCGGGGTGGGCGCACCTCAGCAGTGAGCAGCAGAGGAGCACCGTGCGGGTGGAAGTGCACGGCTCGCAGTGACCTGCGCGTGCGCAGCACCACACACGGCTGTGCTGCCTCTCCTGAGCGCGTGTACTGCCATATGTACAGCTGCAGGGACAGGCAGAGACAGCACACAGACACACACGGACCACACCACACACATACAGACACGGACAGAGAGGATACAGAGAGCACACAGAGAGCAGGCGGGAAAAAGGGGGTGTGAGAGATTATAAGCTGCCTCAAAAAACTTCCTCGCATGACCACGCGTGCACTGCAATATGTACAGCTGCACACACAGATAATGGGAGCAGGACGCACCTTGTGACCGGACGCCACCGCAAGCAGGTCTCCAGATGCATGGAAGGCGAGCGATGCAATGGGACGATCTGACCCACCCAGGGGGGTGAAAGATGGGGGGTTGAGCAGGGGGGCGCGGACAGGGGGGCGGGAGCAGAGGGTAATGTGCATTAGGGGATAAGAGGGAATCGTGCAGCTATTGTGCTGTGCATGGTTGTGGGCACGAGGCAGGGGATTGCACGGGATGACATGAGGCCATCAAAAGGAGGAAAAGCGAGGCTGGGGAGGGAGATACGGAGCAGGAGACAGCTAAGCAATAACAAGGCAAGGAAGGCCGGCAGGCGTAAGGCAATGGCAGGGCAAGAGCGTGCAGAGACGTGCGCGGAAGGGAGTGGGAACGGGAGTGGAAATGGGAGGGGGGGCACGAACGGGAGGAGAGTAACATTGGGGCTGGGAGTTGGAGTGGGAGCAAAGCAGAAACGGGAGTGGGAGCGGGAGTGGGAGTGGGGGTGGGAGCAGGGGTGGGAACGGGAGCACTAGTGGGAGCGCAAATGGCAATGGGAGCAGGAGCCGGAGTGGGATTGGGGGGCAGGGTGGGGCATACAGAAGGGGTGGAAGGCGATGCAGTGGGCAGTGTCGGTGTCCCACAGGCGCACCTCGTGGTCCAGACTGCCACTCGCCACCACATGCGCTGTGCGTGGGTGGTACCGCACCTGCTCCCATGCCATGGCGCAGCATGGGGTGATATATGGCACACAGAGGCACATGGCATGGAGAAGCATGGCATGGCATGGCAAGGCTTAGTTCTTATAGATCTAAAGGATTGCCTTGAAAACGGTGCAGCGCGCCGGAGCAAAGGTGTGCTATAGCAGACATATGATGACCAGGGTGCAGGTGCAAGACCGAGAGTGCATGATGGTGGGAGCAAGCAGGGTCGGGTCGGGGTGCATGTGCGCGGGAGGATGGGCGAGGGAGAATGATCGCGGGAGCATTAAGCATACCACCCAGGGCGTGCGGCGGTGGCCTGTGAGCGTGCGCAGGCACTTGCTGGTTGCACAGCTGATGATCTTCACCGTGTGGTCGCCACTGGTGGGGCGCGGATGGGTGCAATGGGATGGGATGGGGTGGGCACAAGACAGGGGAGGGGGCTGAGTGATTGGCATTCAAGGGGGAATTTAAGCGACAAAGACAGTGGGGCCGAAAGACTGGAGGGTGTCAGCTGACGAAGAGCTATTTTAAAAGGCATAAAGGTGAAGCTGGGGAGCAGGATGGATGCATGAATGCAACAACACAACACAGCACTCGCGTGAAGCTGCTTACTGTGTGGAGGCCAGGGAGGCGCCGTCGCTGCTGAAAGCGGCGGCGATGGTGGAGCGCGGGGCAGGGTGCAGAGGGCAGTACTGCGCCGAGTAGCGGATGAGCGAGTCGCGCTCCACCCTAATCACGCGGCAAATTAGGGTTTTGAAGGAACAAAATGGCAAGTGATAAGGGCCATACGGAAGCGGGGGACTTGGAAATACAGAGATGCGCAAGCAATGCACAGAAAATGCACAGGCGAGGCACGTCTCACACGGAGCAGGGAGCTCTCATCTCATCTCACCAGTGGGCCAGCATAACAGCAGCGTTCACCCGACTGCTGCCACCACTCCCGCCCGCACTGCCCGCTGCTGCACCTACGCCATCTGCCCCTTCCTCGCCCTGCCGCTCAGCTCCTTTGCCGACATCCGCCCTACCAGCAAGTTCCGCATCTGCCCCCACAGATCCCCGTCCTAAACCTCCTGCTCCACCCCCGCGGACCCCACCCCCTCTATCGCCGCCGCCTCCGCCTCCGCCCCCCTGCCGCTGGTTGCGCCGGTTCCGCCAGGCCCCGGCAGGGTGCGCGGGGAGTCAGTCCAGGGGCTGCAGGGCGCGCGGCGGACGACGGGGCAACACTCGCGCAGCGCCAGGAGCTGCTGCACGTTGCGCGTGCGCCTGTCGGGAGCAAGGGACGAACGCAGCGACGGGAACACGAGCAGACACACGATTACGAGAAAAATGCGATCGGGCGCAGTGGGGAGAGGAAAGTTATGAGCTGGTGAATCGACGGCGGGGAGAGCAGGAATGAGCGCGAGCGGCGATTTAGGGAGAAACCTCGGCGGGGGATGACAGGTACGGAAAGACTGTGAGAGAATTGGCCGGTGGAAACGGACTCGGCAAACACAAGGCTAGGTAGGTGACGAAACCCACAGCGCTCTGGACCAATTTGAGAAAAACCAAGTCGCGAAACAACATACACATCCAACACGCTTCCTCACTACCTCTTCCATTTCCTCCACAAACCCTCGCTTCACCCTTTCCCCCTCCTCCCTTCTCTCCCAGCCCTCTCCCAGCCCTCTCGGAGCCCTCTTCGCCCTCTCCGTGACCGACTAAAGTCGCACGGACGAAGCACACACCTTCGCAGGTGCGTACGATCCGCATCCGCAGCGTTCGGCTGGCTCGATGTCGTCGGCACCGCGGCTTTTAACGACCCCCACCGGTGCTCCAGGTCTCCATCCACGCGATCCGCGCCAGTGACCGTTGGATCCACCCACGCAGCTGCTGCGGCTGCTGCTGTTGCTGCTGCTGCCTCGTCGGACTGACCATTCACTGGCCGCATCCTCTGGGCCTACGATTTTTCTCCTTCAATACCTCAGAGCACGCCGTTTGTTTGCGAAACTCCACTGCTTTCCCACCTTAACGCTGTGCTAAATCCTTGTAAGAATTCCTGTCCCTGCCTCTTTGATTACTTGAAGAAGAGAAAGAGCTCTACTTGGCTTTAATGCTTCATCCAGCGGCTCAGCGGCTCCTGGACAACTGTTGAATAGCGATTCCTTTCAGAGCAACGCGCAGAAGTAAAGGCCACCGCGTGCGGTTCTTAACGATTCAAAAAACACTCAGTTGGGCTTTTCCGTTACGAAAATTCAAGGCGCCTGATTCGATCTGTCGGTCGAGAATTTTAGAACGGAGATATCTCTCGCCTCTCAAGCACGAATCGTGCGCAAGGTCAATTTAGGTTGTCCTCATCACTCTCGGTTCCTCCCGCCTAATACTAACACCTTCACGCTGCCCATGAGATCGAAAAGTATGTCTGAAAGCGCAAGGCGGTTGTAGAACGTCGGATCTTAGGAGAAAACTTAACGCGTTGACTAAAGCAAAATGAGGATGTGTGCTCGCCAATAAACGCTGAGGGAGTAGCGGTCTAGTCTTCTAATCTCGATGTCCTAAAGATTTGCGTGAACACAACACCACAGCGTGAGCTGTTCGTGCGTGGGGTCCGGCTGGAGGAATTTCAACTGCTCCAGTTGGGTTGGGTCCACGAGGCAGGCCATGGGCCATGGCACGACACCGTATCGAATGCTGCTGGTCATGCGATGGGATGGGAAGGAAGGATGCTGCTCGCCTGCCGGTGGAGTGAGGGTTGGCTGGCAAGGGAAACGGTTGGGGTCAGAATCAAATAAACCGAAACCAAACGCGACGTCACCCTTGGGATCTCATTTCGCATGTAACGTGTGCTGTACATACACTACAGGTGTGTGAAATGTTGTTTTAGAAAAAAAATGCATACCCTAAGAACGCAACAAGCCAACCACAAGCATCCGGCCATTAGCTTGCTAAAAAAGAAAAGATGTTGCAACCACAACCAAGCCAGCAAACAAGAGCTGTCACTCACTATACAAGCCAAACGAAAGTTAGTCAGTATCAACAGCGGGTCATTTCAAGATACACAGCACAAAACAGCAGTTGAAAAGTGTGACTGCTCGCATCCCTAACCCTTGTTCTCTCCGGGCCCTGTCACGCTGCTGCTGCGAACAAACCCTGCTGCTCCACCAGACACAGCAGAACGCGGGCGAGCGCCACCCCCCTCACCTCCCACACCCCCTCCTCCCCCTCCTAGAGGCTCCATACGCACATAAGTAGCATCAAAGGATGTTCGGCTCCGGGGAACCACACTGCGCAGCGCAGATGACCACGACATGAGCCCTGCTGCTGGCACGTCCCCCGTGGATATGCCATAGGTTGGGGACACACCCGTGTGAGTGGAGGAGGAGGGGCCTACAGCGGCAGCAACCCGTGCAGAAGCCGCACAAGCACCAGCACCAGCTACCGCAGGAGATGCTTCTGAGTCAACCCCACCGGGTGTGGCAGAAGGGGGGTCTGTTGCTGATGTGGGGGTGGTGGAGTGGAAGGGGTTGGTGAGCAGGCGCCGCCTCTCATCGGCCTCTGTGTAATCTGAGAAGGCAGATGACGTGTCGCCGTCACAGCTGATGCTGTGCCTCCCAGTACCCTCTGCTGGGTCACGCGGACTGAACACTGCTGCTGCAGCAGCAGCTACCTTGCTGCCGCCAGCACCACCAGCAGCGGCAGCGGCGGCAGCGGCGGCGGCTGCAGCGGCAAGGCGAATGTCGCTGAGTTCGGCCTCCTGTGCTGCTGCAGCTGCTGGGTCCTCTGCTCCCTGCGTCCACCCGTCAATGATGGCTCGAATTGCATCGTAGCTACGGTGTGAAACACAAAAGGGAAGCACATGGCCGGGAGTAAGAATGAGACTCAGGTGGAATTGAGATGCCCTGCAACTTTTTAAGAAAGTAGACTTGAGAAGATTTGAGGATGATAGATTTGAGTGATCAGGATAAGATGCAAAGAGGGGAAGGCAGAGGTTAACACGAAGGAAAACAAGAGAGAAAAACGCAAGAGATAAGAGTTAAACATCATAACAGCAGCAGCAAAAACAGTAGCAGCAGCGTCTGGGGCTTGTGCATGACAACAAGCGGCAGGCGGGCAGGAGACCACGCACCCTGCAATGGACGTCTCAAACTGGAAGCTTCTGGTTCGCTTGCCAGCACCAGGTGGAGTCATGCAGATATCCCGACTGCCCTCTGCCACCCCACTCCCCTTCTCTGCCTCACCACCCACGCCTCCTCCTGCCGCTGCTGCGGCGGCTGCTGCTGCAGCAATCAGTTTCCTCTCCTCGTCCCTCTCTAGGAGCACCACCTCCCATGTCTCCAACCCAAGCTCCACTGCTGCCACATCCTCAACACTCAGAGGAACCATCGCATACTTTCTCCCGTCCTGCTGCTGCTGCTGCTGCACTTGCTGTGGTTCAGTCCCTTGTTCTTCCCCAGGGCGTTCAGGTGCTCCTGCGCTGGTCCCTGCTGCTGCTGCAGTTGCTGCTGCTGCTGCTGCTGCTGCTGCTGCTGCTGCACCCAGCAACGGATCAACTTCAGTCTCTCCACCGCCCACCGCAGAGAATGGATGCGTGGCAGTGCCTTCATCTGCGCCTGCTTCCAACTTATGCTGCTGCTGCGGCTGCTGTGGCTTGTGCTTGGAAGGAACAGCAGCACGGGGAGATCCTTCAGGGGAGATCACGGTGGAGTAGCGAGGCTGCACCACCACAGGCGCACACAGCGTGCTCTCAGCACCCCCACCACCACCCTCACTCACCGCATCACCCTTACCATCAACACCAGCACCAGCATCAGCTGTACCAGCAGCAGTGAGGTTGTGATTTGGAGAGGCACGTGATCCCTCGAGGGATTTCGCATCTGATGCTGCTGCCACTGCCGCTAGTAACACTCCTTCCTCCCCTGCCCCTCCTCCCCCTCCACCAGCAGCAGCAGCAGCAGCGTCTATGGCTGGCTGGGTCGATCCCGGAAAATCCTTTTTCGAAAACACACTCTTGTTTGGAGTGCGAGGAGTGGAAGACGCGGATTTACTCGGCCGTTTACCTCCCTTGGCAGCAGCTGCGGCAGCAGCACGGGTTTTGGGCGTGCGGGGCGTGGTGACGAGCACGGGGCGCTCGGGCACACGCCACAGGTCCACAAAGTTGGTGCGGCGGATGCGGAAGGGCGCTATGCCGAAGTCAATGCACGCTGGCGACAGCGTTATGGTCGCTGCTACCTGTCGTTGAGAGGGGAGGGGGAGAGGGGAGCGGGAGAGGGAGAGGGGAGAGGGTCGTGGGTGGGGAGAGGGGAGAGGGGAGAGGGAAGAGGGGAGGGTGGAGAGGAGATAGGGAGTGGGGAATAAAGTGGGAGACACAGAGGCGACACTGGTGGAAAGAGAGGTTGGGTGCAGTCACAGAGATGACAGTAGCCACAGCAGGCGCGTGCGTATGCAGGTGAGAGGGGCACGCACGCGGTGGTTGGCGAAGTGAATGTAGCAGGGCAGCCCGTGCAAGGACGCCGCCCCTCCTGCACCCACTGCTGCCGTCCCCGTGCTGCTGCCGGCAGCGCGAGCAGCACCGCGACCAGGCGACACCACACTCGCTGCAGCAGCTGTGGCATCGCCAGCTGTAGCGGCTGTAGCGGATGTAGCGGCGGCAGCGAGGGCGTCGTCAGCGGGCACGGCAATCTGCAGCCCGCCGAGGCCCATTCGCTCCCGGAACGACCCGCTGTTACTTCCGCTCGCGCTGCTCGCGCTGCTAGCGTTGCCAGCGCCGCTCGTGGTGGTGGTGACGTCGCCGCTGCTGCTGCCATGGCCCGACGCGGTTTTACCGAGTGCCCTGGCTGGTGCAGGCTTGGACGGAGATGGAACAGTAACATCGGCTGCTGGCTTTGCGGATGAGCTTGTTGCTGAAACGGATAACGGAGGGTCGGCCGCAGCAGCTGATGCCGCGGTTGCTGCTGCGCCGTCACCCTTTCCGCCTGTCCTTGCCCCTCCGCCTACTGTTTTCCCCGCTGCCGTGGCGCGTCTGTTAGCTAGCAGGCTGGCGGCTTCAAGCGTGCTGGTCTTAACGAACGACGCGAGGGCGCGGTCCGCTTGCTCCGCGTCGTCCTCCGCGCCTTCCGTCAGTGCCGCGTCGCGCATGTCGACGGCGAGCATGCGAATCTGCTCCGGCGTCAGCCCCTCCACGTCGATTCCGCTCTCCGAGAGAGCGGAAATGCCCGGCATCATGCCGGCAGACGCGGCGGAAATGGCGGAAGCAGCTGAGTAAAGAGCTACAGGGGTGATTTTTGCAATCTATTGTGCAATGAGGTGAAGGTCGAGGACGTTAACAATGTCGAAAATCGCCAGAGCGGCTCCACACGTACGAGTCGCGGCTGTCAGGAAGGTAAATGGCGGTCAAAACTGCTATCTTCTCTCAACACAAGATGGTAGTGCAACATCTGATGGGGTTTGGCTGGGATAGTTTTGGTTGATGAGCCTTGTTTTGTGCGGTCAAAAGCTTTGCTTCACGGTACACTACCGCGCAGTCTGGTAAGACTTTGTAACGACTGGTTTCAATCATTCACAACCTAACTACAATTTTATTATCAAAGTATATTAATCCAGACACTTTATAAATTGCAAGAAATTCTATGCACTACCCAGATCTCACTACACTAATGTATATTCCGAAAACATTCACAATAATATCCAGGAGATACAGCCAATGATATTCTGTCTAAGCCTATCTTATTCCATGGCAGCATGCCATCCATGCCCACCCCGGCATGGACTGGCAGTGCAGTGCACAGGCAGAGAGTAAGGTTGGGTCATGAGCATTGCTTCGCCCAAGACGTGCGGGTGCCCTACTAGGGACTGGCTGTGTCCACCCCCACCTCCATCAAATGACAACTGCTGGCCAGACAGTGTTGTCACTTGACGGGGGTGGAAGGGGACAGAACCAGTCCGGTTTGGCCCGGAATCGAGTGCTTAGCCCAATGCTCATGACTTCAACCCCTTCTCATGCACTGGCGACAGCCACCCACTGAGTCTTGACGCCCATGAGGGCACCTGCAGACAAAGGAGTGCAAGAAAGACAGGTATTAGTCCAGGAAAAAAGAAACAAAGCAAAAAGGCAGCATGCATCAAAGAAAATCAACAAACAATAGATCAAGGAGGAAGGCACTGCAAAATAAAGCCATGTGCACGAATAAGGGAGGTCAAAGGTAACGGCTGAAACTTATCTGAAGTTGAGGGTATAGACTGTGGAGCGGTGCTTGAGCCTTGAAGCGCCTAAGTAAGCCATGGTGCTCCCATGGAGCAGCATGTTGGAGTGTGGAGCCGTGCAGATGGCGCTTGGAGAACCTGCCATGAGGCAAAAAAAAAGTAAGTCAGTCAATGGCGAGTTGAACCACAACTTGGAAAAAAAAAAAAACTCTAAGAAATTAGCAAGCTTTGAGTAAGCAGTGGAGGAGCGTTGGAGCGATAAAGCAAGGGAATAGGTTGGGGTTGGCGACTTATCTTTCCATGCTTGAACCTTGAGGCGCTTCAGCCGGCCATGGTGTTCCCATGGACCTTGGACATGTTCAAATCAGTTGGTGAAGCAACCTGCCAAGTAAAACAGAAAAAAAAAAAAAAGGTTAAAAGGCCAAGTCTATATATAAAAACGTACCGACATGCAGCAAATGACAAAAATGAAGAGGAGTGAGACGGACTTACAGCTGGTGGAGAGAGAGGAGGCACCTGCCAGGTGCTGTTGGCAGGTACGTTCACCCCGCCTTGGAGCTTGGTATAAAGCCTTGAATAGAACCTGCAAGGGGTCAAGGGAACTAGGTTAGTAATCAGCAGGAAACTAAGTAAACCTGCAAGGGGTCAAGGGAACTAGGTTAGTAATCAGCAGGAAACTAAGTATGCAGAGAAAAAAAAGGTATTGCAAAAGTGTGCTGCTTACCACAGCAGACCCACAGAGCCAGTACCTTAACCAAAAACCTGAAGGGGACCTTACCAAACCTTTACCCGTACCAGACCTTAACCAGGGGAAGGCTCTGTGGGGGGTTTGATACTTTCAACCTTCACACGCCTGGAGCTGGTCCTCTGCTACCGCCATGAAGCATGGAATGCTGCTGAAGGCGGTTGCTCCTCTGAAGGCTTCTGATGCATGTAGGAGATCCTCAGACATAACCTGAAAGTTAAGAAGAAAAACGGAATTAGTACATGTCCGAAAGCAGAAAGAATAAAGGACTTTGCAAGCATGAAAATGAAATACAAACCTGTGCTGCTGCTTACCACAGCAGACCCACAGAGCCAGTACCTTAACCAAAAACCTGAAGGGGACCTTACCAAACCTTGACCTGTACCAGACCTTAACCAGGGGAAGGCTCTGTGGGGGGTTTGATACTTTCAACCTTTACACGCCTGGAGCTGGTCCTCTGCTACCGCCGTGAAGCATGGAATGCTGCTGAAGGCGGTTGCTCCTCTGAAGGCTTCTGATGCATGCGGGAGATCCTCTGACATAACCTGAAAGTTAAGAAGAAAAAACGGAATTAGTACATGTCCGAAAGCAGAAAGAATAAAGGACTTTGCAAGCATGAAAACGAAATACAAACCTGTGCTGCTGCTTACCACAGCAGACCCACAGAGCCAGTACCTTAACCAAAAACCTGAAGGGGACCTTACCAAACCTTGACCTGTACCAGACCTTAACCAGGGGAAGGCTCTGTGGGGGGTTTGATACTTTCAACCTTTACACGCCTGGAGCTGATCCTCTGCTACCGCCATGAAGCATGGAATGCTGCTGAAGGCGGTTGCTCCTCTGAAGGCTTCTGATGCATGCAGGAGATCCTCAGACATAACCTGAAAGTTAAGAAGAAAAAACGGAATTAGTACATGTCCGAAAGCAGAAAGATTTAAGGACTTTGCAAGCATGAAAACGAAATACAAACCTGTGCTGCTGCTTACCACAGCAGACCCACAGAGCCAGTACCTTAACCAAAAACCTGAGGGGGACCTTACCAAACCTTGACCTGTACCAGACCTTAACCAGGGGAGAGGCTCTGTGGGGAGTTTGATACTTTCAACCTTCACACGCCTAGAGCTGGTCCTCTGCTGCCGCCATGAAGCATGGAGGACTGCTGAAGGCGGTTGCTCCTCTGAAGGCTTCTGATGCATGCGGGAGAAACTCAGACAAAAGCTGAAAACGAAAAAAGCTGCTGCTTACCACAGCAGACCCCACAGAGCCAGTACCTTAACCAAAAACCTGAAGGGGACCTTACCAAACCTTGACCTGTACCAGACCTTAACCAGGGGAAGGCTCTGTGGGGAGTTTGATACTTTCAACCTTCACACGCCTGAAGCTGCTCCTCGAGAAGATCAATGACATTTCAGCCGCATTGGAGCTAGCGTTGCAACGACGAGATCCCGCGACGAAAAGCAGATCCGCGACGAAATGCAGATCCGCGACGAAATTATGATCCGCGATGAAATGATCCGCGACGAAATGCAGATCCGCGACGAAACGCATATCCGCGACGAAATGCAGATCCGCGACGAAATGCAGATCCGCGACGAGATGAAAGATTACCATAATGTCCTGCGCATCGAGAGTGAAATAGTCAGGATCGGCTTTGAAAACAAAACGGAAGATCGTCTCGTATGTTAATTGAATTAACTATTGATGCGAAAAAACGAAATAGGAATGGTTGCTGTACCTGACGTACATGCAGGCGAAGTTGTCTCGTTAACGTGGCATAAACTCCCACGATCGACGGAGGTATGAAGCTCCTCGATCCTACGGAACGAACCAGGCTGATAAGTGACGAGTGAGAGGACGATCGGAAGCCAAAGTCGACTGGCAAAATGCCTATAAGGCTGGAAAAGCTAACTGCAATTCCGAGAAGAGGCGCCAGAATATGAGCCTGAAGATGCCGGGAATGCCTGAATGCAGACTGTTGAGATGCGCTTTTCGGTGGAATCAGTCAGTGGTTGGAAATCCGCCTTGCTGGCTTCTATGGTAGTCCCAAACCTGCCACCGTGGGCTATTGTGGATCAGACCAAATCGCCGACAACATGGGCCCCAGCTCTGATTGGACCGCCAAATTAACACAGCGTCTGATTGGACCGCCTAAAGTGCAACGAAATCCTATGTCCTCAATTTTGGACACGTATGCTGTTTTAACGGCCTGGAACAAAACACGGGTGCAAACACAAAATCTGAACATGTACTGACGTGGCCTCAAGAACATCCACTCATTCAACCACCGCGATCCGTTTCCCGGAGCGTGCTGCTAAATTGAGCCGCTCAAGTGCTTAGGAGGCGGCTGGCAGAAGGGTTGGGAGGGAAGGATGATGCGTCTGTCTGAATTGGGTCTGACACAACCAGCGGTAGAGAGGAGCGACGGAGGAGGTGTAAAATCATCATCTGCCAAAAGGAGAAGCTGGGGTTTCGGTATTGCGAATTGGCGAACTCCCAAGTAACTACTGTTGTAAGCCGTTCCTCCGTGGCATTTGGAAGCTGGGTTTCGCCATCCCCTGTTGCAGTCAGACAGGAAGATTTGAGTGGCGACGTGGTTCGCGAAATCATTTCGTGCATTGTGGGGTAGGCGAAGTGCTTCCGCATTCCGTGATTGTGCAGATCTGGGTCCAATCTGGTTGAACACGGTTCGGAAACTTTTAGCGGGTTTGCAGTTCGCAGGGAAGTTGATCTTGATACCCCACCGCCAACGGGGTTGGCGGTCAGTACGGTTCAGACAGTGTTTATGAGTTATAAAGCGGTACAGGCAAACCATTAGAAACCGTAGAGCGCCAGAATCACCTTTCGTGTTGCAAGGCAATTTCGAGGTGGTTCGAATCGAATCCCATGTGGGGTTCCCGTTCCCCCCGAGCCTGTCCCCCCCATCTCCGTCCTGGAACCTCGTCACCATTCCATCCAATCACGCAAGCCACGACGCGTGACCTCTCTGCTGCCTGGTTTGCCGAACCAGCACGCCATCACGACCTTGGGTTTTCCGCGTCTCCCAAAAACAACCCAGACCAGACAAGCCTGTTTCCTTACCGCAACTCCACACCACGAAACCATTTCAAACCGAACCAGAACGAATCACGATGAATGCGTGCTCAAGCCAGAGGCAAGGTTCCTCGCCGTCTCAAACTTTATTTCGCGTCCTTGCTTGCATTTTGACAAAATATCGGCTCAATATTGCACCTTCAGACCTTATCGCGCTCATCTCCGCTGCCTCATCCCCCGCCACCTGCTCGATTGGTGTTTCTTTCACTACTTTCTCCGTCGCCTGCTTTTTGCGTTGAAGCCGCCGAAATCCGCTTGCCAGACGGCAGTAGGAACGTAAAGCAAGGTATAACTTCGCTCTCGCCAATCGTACCCTGTTTCACCGTTAACTCCTAGCACGCCTTCGCAATTCTCCCCTCCGCCAGCTTCCCTCCTGCGCCTCGCCTTCTCCGCGTCTCCCCGCTCCCGTTGCACGTGGTTCCATTCACCTAACCGAAAGATTTCTTCGGCCGCGTCGCAAGGTTTTCTGTTACTCTGTTTCGAGCACCCTCAAGGCCAGACCCGCAGCGCCCCATGGCGCCGCCATTGCCCGTCGCCGTGTGCTTCAGTCACCTCCTCCTCCTGCTGCTGCTGTCCTCCTCGCACCACGCGCACGCGGCTCCTACAATTCACCCGTCGCAAGGTCTGTCGAGGCGCCCCGAGCTCCTCACTTGAACCTTCTCCTCGCGTCGTTCCCCCCTGATCAATCGCACCAGAATTGCTTTCCGTTGCCCATCCTCTTTTCTCTCGCTCAAACCTTCTCCTCTTTTCCCCATGCCCTCCTGCTCCTCACGTTCAGCTTACCCCGCTTTGATCCCCTTACCCTACTAGGGTAGTATACACCTCTCCACCTCTCCGCCACCCCGCCACTCCCTCCCCCCCCGTTCTCCCCTTCCCCCCCGCACAGTCTCCGTGCTGCGCCAGCTGTCGTCCGCGTGCGGGCTGACGTACACCTCGTGGGCGGAAGGCGCGGATTGCGCCAATGCCGCGGGGCTAACGTGCGATGGCGCGGGGATGATTCAGAGCTTGTGAGCATCGAGGGGGCTGGGTGGAATGGGTACAGGGTTGGGATGGGAGGGGACGAGGGAAGGAGGATCATTCTTTCGTCTCTCCCATTACGTCTACCATTATCGTCTCTTTCCAGTTGGACACTACGTTTCCACTCCACTCCACGCCCTTCTTATTCGAGCCCGGACCTTTGCCTCCAATCTTGCTCTGTCGTTCGCAGGTCGTTGTGGGATGAGGGCATGGAGTGCGTCCTTCCTAGCTACATCAGCGACCTTAGTGCCCTCACATCGCTGTACGCGCACTCACTCACTCACTAGCACTCTCTCACTTACTCCCTCTCTTTCGCTCTCACTCTCTCACTCATTCATGCACGTGCCACATACGCGCTCCCACACGCGCCCTTGCTTGCTTGCTCCATGTCCTGCCCACGCAAGCAATCGAGTGCGACCTCTCTCTTGCCCCCACCCCACAGCAATCTGAGCAGCAACACCCTCACAGGCAGCCTGCCCTCCGCCATCGCCAATCTCACTCAGCTCAAGTACCTGTAAGCACAAGAGCACACCACCTCTTCTGTCCAGACGGCTCGTCTCACTTTCCTTTTCCTCTTCAATCCGTATCCACTGCGTGCTTCCTGTCAGTCACTCTCGCCCTTTACACACGTCCCCGAACCTATATTTTCTCGCCGTGTTCCTTTTTGTCCCTTTGCGTCTGTGTGCCGCGCTGCGTGCCCTGCACGGTGGGTGCACAGGGATCTGAGTGTGAACAAGATAACGGGCAGCATACCACTGGAGATTGGCAATCTCTCCAGCCTTCTCTCCTTGTGAGTCAACATGCCGTATGGACACATGCATGCACACACTGACCTGAGTCATTGCACATGGACCAACCAACTTAATGATTTACCGACTAGGAGTTTGCTCCTAGAGAAAAGTTGCCTTGCTGGGTTTCTTAGAGATCCCCTGATTCCTTCTAGATTGAGCTAGTTCTCTGAAATGTTTTAAAGCATGTTCGGAAGTGCTGGAATACCCTGGGAAATATTTTCTGTCTGCTGCTTTCCGTCCTCCTTCTCCACCTCCCCTTTCATCCTCAACCCACCTTGTGTGTCATAGTGACATGCGGTACAATCAACTAACGGGTCTCATCCCCAGCACCGTGGCACTCCTCTCCAACCTCACATACCTGTCAGTCACACATGCGCTCTTGCCCCTCCCATTCTTGCTGCTCCCATTCTTACTCCTCCCGCTCTCGATCTTCCTGCCTTTGCTCCTCCTGCAGTTCTGCCCCGATTTTGTCTGGCAATCTCGCCATTCATAGTCCCCCCGCATTCCCTGCCCGCTGCTCCTCTGCCCCACGTTCCCTGTGCTGTTCGTCCATGGCATCGCAGCGACCTGGGCTCTACCCGCGAGTCCCCATCCAGCATGGACATGGTCAACCAGCTCTCCGGTCCCATCCCGCCTAGTCTCGGCACTCTCCGCAACCTCACCTTCCTGTACGCCTCCCACCCACGCTTGCTCCTCCCCTCACCCATTCTCTCATTCGCCCTCTCACCCACCCTCCACTCCCGTCCACCCACTTTCTGTCGCCCACTCTTTGCTTCTTATTCTCCCCCTTCCCCCCCAACCCCCATGCGGCGTGCCCCCGTCCATCTTACTCATCTATTTGCGGCCTCTTATCTTCCCTCTCTTGCCATTCCTGAACCATGCTTACCCTCTCGACCTCCAACAATTTCCCGCTATCTTCCCCCTGCCCCGCACTTTCCTCCCCTTGTACCCCCCTTGTCCTCGTCCCCTGCCCTCCCCCTCGCAGAGGGCTCAGTTCCAATCGCCTGAACGGGTCCATACCAGCAAGCCTCGGTAGCCTCGCCAGTCTCTCGTACCTGTCAGTCCCCTCCTCCTGCTCCTGCTCCTGCCCCCATGCATGCCCCCATGCCTCCACCACACCGCTTGGCCCCACCTAAGGCTCCAAGCACAGGCCCATGCCCCCACATGAGCGCTAGGGCGAAAAGAGTAAAGCAGCCCTTTTGAGTGCCTGCTCTCCTCTCCTGCACATGCATGCAAAAGCCCGCCTTGCTTGCAAGTGCCTGCTACCCTGCCCCCTCCTTCACCAAGGAGTTATGCTTCCCTGCACTCTCTCCCTCACTCGCTGCAGTTATGCTTAGTATCCAACATCCTTTCCTTCCATATCACACCACCTTCCCACGACCTCACACTGTCCCCATGTGTGTATTCCCATGGCATGGCGTGGCAGGGACGTGAGCAGCAACCAGCTGAATGGCACCATCCCGGCCGCTATTGGCCGCATGCGCAGCCTCAAACTCATGTGCGTGCAGGGCGTGGGGGCCGGGAGGGAGGATGCGGAAAATGGGGGGAAAGGACTGGCGCAGACAGACAGTAGGACAGGGTTGTTGTATCTCTCTCTCTCTCTCTCTCTCTCTCTCTCTCTCTCTCTCTCTCTCTCTCTCTCTCTCTCTCTCTCTCTCTCTCTCTCTCTCTCTCTCTCTCTCTCTCTCTCTCTCTCTCTCTCTCTCTCTCTCTCTCTCTCTCTCTCTCTCTCTTGCAAGGTTGCTTTGCTAGCTCCTCCCCTGCGTTTCTCTTTCTTTGTCACTCGTGTGGTCCATCTGTGTCTCCCCTCCCCGTCTCCTCTCCCTGTACTTCTCTCCTGCAGTGACCTCAGTGACAACTACCTCTCGGGCCCCATCCCGTCCTCCATTGGGCTTCTCTCCAATCTCTCTTTCCTGTAAGTGCAGTAATGTGCTGTGCTGTGCGGTGCAGCGCTGTGCAGTGCAGCGCTGTGCGGTTCTGTGTTCTGCAGCGCAGCGCTGTGCTACTTACCAGTGCACGACCACCTCTTCTGAATGGTCCTCAAGGGTTTACCCTGTCCGTCCACCCTGCCACACAATCACTCGCTCGCCAGCACCCACCTCCTCATTCACTCCACACATGCCGCCTGCTCACAATGCCACAGTGCATGTGCTTCTCTAGAACTCCCTAGTCTTACCCTTGTCCACACTCCACAGTGCCTTTCCTTCTCACAAAGCTCTGTTCTTCCTGTGCTCGCTCTTCGTCTCGCACTCTTCCTTTCTCCCCCTCTTTTCTCCCCCTCCTTTCTCCCACTCCCTGACCGCCTCTACCCCTCTGCTCCCCCCTGCCCAGCAAGCTCGCCTCGAACCTACTCAACGGCTCTCTGCCTGCTACGCTCTTCAACCTCACACAGCTCGTGCATCTGTAAGTGCCCGCACTCCCACTCGCACGCCCGCTCGCACGCACGCACCTGCTAGCTTCAGCCGCATCCTCATAGCTTCTTGTAGCAGGCAACATGCTGTCAACCGCACCTTTGATTCTTTGTTCCGCAAAATCTGCTCTCCTGGACTCACGCTGTCTTACTCCCCTTCTCCACTCAACTGACCGAGCCTTCCGTTCCCCTGCTGTTCCCCTGCCCTTCCCCTCCTCGTTCACTGAGCGCATGATGAGGATGGGAGGACGTAGGGTCAGTGAGGAAGCGGGTGTACGAGGCAACCAAAAGAACCACATACAGGGGCCTTTGCCTGCCTTTGAGACGTCTCAAAAGTCCCTTTTCCTGTCCCTCCTCCTCGTTCGTTGAACGCATGAGCAGCGATGTGGGGTCAGTGAGGAAGAGGGTGTACTATGCGAGTCAGAAGAACCAGATACAGGGACCTCTGCCGGACACTGTTGGCAACCTCACTGCCCTCACTGCCCTGTCAGTCAACCCGCCACGCATTGCCATGCCATGCTGTCGCCATGCCGTACGCATACCATACCATGCCGTGCCGTGCCATACATCATACTGTATCGCACCTGACAGTGCCATACCAACCACCACTCTATACACACTCATGGTTTCTATACATGCCATGCATGTGTGTGATGGCAGGGGCATGAGCAACAACCTACTCTCGGGTGCCATACCTTCCTCCATCGGCCGCCTCCTCTCGCTCGTCTACCTGTACGCCCACCACACCTCACTTGTTTCTAAAAAAAACTGACCAGAAAATTGTAACCGTCAGCTCCCACACCACCATCTCCTCTCCGTCTCAGTGTTTCACACATCACAATCTAATCTCTTCCACTCAAATTTCTGCTGTCACATCTCCTCATGCCATGCCATGCAGTGACCTACACAACAACATGTTCAACGGGTCCATTCCAGATTCCATTGGCAACTTGGCACAGCTCAAAACGCTGTAAGCCCTGCCACTGCTGCTGCTACTGCTACCGTGCACACCATGCGTTCCACATTGCAACTATTCACCCTTGCAACCATGCGATCTACACTTCAACACCATTGTTGCCATTCTCCCCACCCCTTCCCCTGCAACCCACGACCCTCGCTTCGGACTCACCCCTCCACCCGTCCGTTCCCACACCTCCCCAACTGTTGCAGTTTCCTGGGCGGCAATGAGCTGTCAGGCTCCCTGCCTGCGTCCATAGGCAACCTCTCCAACCTGCAAGTGCTGTGAGTCAATGCTTGTGCATGATGGGAGGAGAAGGGGTTGGGGGGAGAGAGGGGAGCAAGGGGAGGGGGAGGGGAGGGGGAGGGTGTATGCACAAGAAAGGGATACAGAGGGTGGATACAGAGGGACAAAGAGTTTCGCATTCAGGTTTCTTTTCCCTTCGCTGAGGGTGCGTTTCCCACTCTGCTTCCATCCATGCTTCTCACCTGTCTGCCTGTCATGGCCCACCTGACGTGCCCTCCTCCCCACGCTCTCCCTCCGCCCTCCATCATCACGCAGTGCTCTGCGCAGCAACGGCCTGGGTGGGTCACTTCCAAGCTCCATTGGTGGCCTTGGGAGCCTCGAAGAGCTGTGAGCATGCCCCTCTCCTCCTACCCTTATCTGCTTCTCTTCCTCACTCCTGTCCTTTCTCTGCTCACGCTCAGCCTCCATCACTTGCTCGCCTTTATTGGAAGTCCCTTTTCTTCCGAATTCCTTCTTCTTTGCACTGATGTTTGCTCCTCCATGGTGTTGTTTGTGTTGTTTTATATGTCCCTCCTTTCCATGTACGTAGTGAGCTGCGCAACAACAGCATACAAGGCCCCTTGCCACCCACACTGGGCAACCTAATCACCCTCTACTCCATGTATTTATACTCACCCACACTTGCTTTCCATAAGTTCGTATCGGGTTTACGATAGTATGCAGGCACAGTTGCCATAGTGGGGTTGCAAAGGCATTTGTTACAGCTGCTGGAAAAGGAAAGGGCAGCAGTTGGAAAAATTGCCTGCTGTTCCCGCCGTACCTTGTTTCTTACTGTCACCTCCCCTCTATTCCGTTCAAAATTATGTGTATCAGGAGCTTGGACAAGGCAGTGGGGTGTCCCAACGCTGACAAGTGCGATGTGAAGCAGTATCGCGGATCAGAGTTCTGCGATCGATGCATGCAATTCTGCACAATTTGCCCACAATGTGAGTGCACTACATCACAAGTGTATACCATGATTGCATGCTCGTCCCTTCGGTCCCAGCCTAATTGAATAGTCTCACAACATGTCATTGTACTTGTTTTCTGGTGTGATTGTTTCCTGCTGTTGCATGCAGACAATAATGGGTGCAGCCGGCCTCCAGCACTTGTTCTGCTTACAAGCGCACTGTTAATGACTATATGTTTTATTCTATTGTGATAAATGGAGCAATGTTGTGTTCCGATTTTATCAACCGCAAGCTGCTTTGTATGTAATTGAGAGCAATTTTACTATTCTCATAACCTTTCACGATGTGAACAACTTTACTCAAACCATATATGCATGTTGCTCCACACAGAATCTGACAAGGGGGGGAAGTTTTGAATTCAGCTTCTCCTATGCCATCCGTGTGTAGGATTGTTTTCCTCTGTTGTATGCAGACAACCAAGTGTAGCTTTGCTTGTCTCGTAACTGAGCCGTCTACAAGGCGGACAAATTCATTCACTCCTTACCTCGAGTTCAGTTCAATTCGCTCTCCCACGAGCCCTCCAGTCTCCCCATCTTTTGGCTCCCCCCCATCACCTCCAAGAATCAATCTTGCCTTCATTGGGGCACTCCAGATCCACCACCAGCTCAGCCGTGCTCCGTCTTTCCCCCATCGCAGCTCAGCACGACCCCCTTCCTTCCCGCTCTCCAGCACAGCTGTGCAGCCGGGTTCCCCGCTGACATGTACCATGCGCTCACGTGCTTCCGTTCATCGCTGCGTGTTCAGCCCCTTCGCCTCTCATCTTAAAGCAATCGCCCTCCAGTTCCCAGAAGTGTATGTGAAATATTTTCTGCCGCGGTGTGCGGGACAGAAAGAAAAAGTTTCTGTGCATCAGCGCGTGTTCAGCACTCTTCATCGTTCGTCCTTTCCTAGCAACCGCTTCGCTCATCCAAGAAGGAGGTGCAAAGATAGCGCGATGTGGGACCTCCCTTCCCATTGTTGGCCTGCCAATTGTTGGCCTCCCATTGGGGGAGTAGTACTCATGTCGCCCGCTTCAAGCGGAGCCCGCGGCTCTTCAAAATAACCGCCGCGCTCCGTTCGTCGCGTTATGATTCGTGCCGACGCGTTGCGTACGATACGATACGACACGACTCATCCATGCTCCGCAAGACTTCGCACGAACGACGATCTTGTACCCCATCCCGTCCCGTTTCAAACGTCAGCAGCACCAGACGAGTCTGAGACCATGATTGACTCAGTGGCGTCTCGAACGAATTCCGTTTCTTGGGTTTCTTTTTTCACGTCAGCAGACCACGACTCGGCGGATGGGTTGAGTTATCGGACGACGGTGGTACCATCACCACGTGATGCTCACGGGCCTTGTGAGATGAGAAGAGAGTGACATACACTCTCCGCTGATGTCACGGCGCGTGATGCCGTGGGCGCCGGTCGCGCTGTCACTGCGCGAGGCGCCGCAGCAGCAAGCAAAGGGAGAAAGGCACGCGCGTGTCAAGACCCGGCAAGTGGACCCACGTTGACCGTCGTCGTCGGAACCTTTCCTTTGCCGCCGTCAACCGTTGTGCCCCGCTGGCGATAGTGATAGCGATGGCGATGGCGATGGCGATGGCGATGGCGATGGGCAAGAAAAGGGAGGACCCTGGCTGGCTACTCGCGCAAGCAGCTGCGGAAAGGATTTTCTTCACCTTTCCCCCCGAGCCGCGCCGGGACGGGCGCCGCAACGGCGAAGGCAGGCAGCTTATCGGACAGAGCTCTCATGCTGGTGATGGTACGATTGTAGAGTAGATAAGGGGATCGCCCAAGAGCCCGGTTTTTTGTGAATGTGTTCATCAAGTTCATGACAAGACGAGACGGTTGTGGACAACGAGACCATCACCTCCCGGTGGTTCTTTTCTTTTCTTTACGAGTTCTATAGCGACCGCGCCACGACCAGTGATACACTCGCTCTCAAAAGAGGAGACGAGAGGAGAGGAGAGAAGTGGAGTCGACTATTGTATGACCTGCCATGCTAGTGGATAGCCGCGCCTTGACAAACAGCTATCGGACGTGGCAAGAGGACTGTATCCAGCCGTGGGGCTCAGGCCTAGGTTCAGGCTAAGGCTTAGGCTCAGGCTTATTCAAACCTGCTGAGTCGACGCCAAGGACAAGATGGCGCAGTGGAGGAGGGCTCTGGTTTCGCTCTCTCTTTTCGCCCTGCTCGGGCTACACTCTGGACTCGTTCAACCAGCAGACGCCGTGTATATTTTCGAGGAGTCTCAAGGTGATGTGATGCTGCTGCTGCTGCTGCTGCTGCGCCTGCGGCCTGTCGTTTCTGTCGTCGCAAGGCCGTGCCTCATGCTAAATAAAGGTTGTGCCATCACAGGGGCTTGGCTTGTGGGGTGTATGATGGATTTCAGGCCTTCATAGTGCGTACATGCGTGTGTGCGTGTGTGTCTGTTTGTGTGTGCGTGCATGTGAGTGAGGGCAGGAAAAGCGTTGGGGGAAGTGAAGCAGGAGTGGGGGTTGACATACGAGGATTGGAAGGTGGGGGGGGACTGCAACCGCGCGCCATATGTCTCATGCGATGAGGACGGCTTCGTGGTCTCCATGTATGTGCTTCTGCTTCTCTCTCTCTCGCTCACTTTCTTCTCACTTGCTTCTTGCAAGTACTGCTTGCTACTTTTACCCGGTTCTGGCGTGTGTTATTCGAGGCGTCTCAGAAAGTGACCACGAAGACAAGTACATGCTGGTCCACGTGTATGTCTTACAACTCCTACTGTTACCTGGAAAAGGCCGCAAGAGGGAGACGAGCCGCACCCACCCACTCAGTCTAACGCTGAAAAGAATGTCAAGGCTTAAGTCTTGTTTTCACAACCTGAATCGTGAACGCTTATGCTGGGTTGGATTCACTTTCTCTTCACCTCCTTTGCCCTCCGCACCCTCCCAACCGACCCTCCCCCCCTTTGGAGCACAGGTCCCTGAGTGGTGGTGTGACTGGCACCATACCCACTGCACTCGGTGCTCTTACTCGCCTCCGTTACCTGTGAGTCCAACCGACCTGCTCCCGCCCCCCCGCCTTCTCTCCTCTCCTCGCCCCACCTCCTCTCTTGTCGAGCATGTGAACTCTCAGAGTTTCTGCGTTGACACCGTGCAAGGGATACGTTGCGTGGTATGGACTTTTGAGGCGCCTCAAAAGGCAAGGGATACGTTGCGTGGTATGGCATGGATGGCTGACATGTGGCGTTGCTGGGTTGGGGATGCATGGAATGGAATGGAGTGTACGTACGGCATACGGCATATGACATGTGACATGTGACATGTGACATGTGTGTGTATGTATGTCATGTCATGGATGCAGGGACTTGAGTAACAACGACCTCTCTGGGTCCGTTCCCGATGCTCTCAGCACACTTACCAGACTCGTCTTCCTGTGAGCACCACTGCACTCCAACCCTCGCATGACTGCACTGCACTCCAACCCTCGCATGACTGCACTGTGCTGCACTTGCCAATCTGCCGTACCCGCCCTCTCCTGAGCGCCCATCACAGCAGCACCACCCACTCGTAGTCGCACAGCGGCGGCGACTACTCGCTCCTCTGCTGCTCTTGTTGCAATGGGCTCGCACCTGCATGGGGGGTTTGCTATGAGGGATGGTGCGCCGGAATAGACCGAAAGGAGCTGCTCCATTAGTGCGTGTGTGAGGGGTCTTGCACTCACCATCCGTTTTTGATTCATGTGGCACTGTGGTCTCTGCATGGCACGCACATGGCATGGCATGGCATGGCATGGCATGACATGGCATGGCATGGCATGCCATGGCATGGCATGGCATGCCATGGCATGGCATGGCATGCCATGGCATGGCAGGTACTTAGAGAACAACGCTTTATCTGGCATCTTCCCGTCAAGCCTGTGCGACCTCCCTCTTCTCGAATCCCTGTAAGTCCATGGCGCTTGCCATCTTCTCCTGCCCATGCCATGCCATGGCGTGGCGTGGCGTGGCGTGGCGTGGCGTGGCGTGGCGTGGCGTGGGGTGGGGTGGCGTGGCGTGGGGTGGCATGGAGTGGCATGGGGAAGCATGGGGTGGAGTTGGTTGGATGGGATGTAATGGGCTGTGACAGTTACAGTTGTGTTTGCGAGTAGGAAAAGGTGGTCATTGGATCCACACACATGATATGCTTTTTTTCAGACGCCAATCATCTAATCCCTCCCTCCCCTACTCCCTCCCTCCCTCTTCCCCTCCCTCCCTCCCTCCCTCCCTCCCTCCCAACCCCCCTCCCTCCCTCTCTCCCTCCCTCCCCCCCTTCCGCCTGCCCGCCCTCCTCCTGCTGAATGGAGCAGGTGGATGCACCACAACGCGTTTGAGGGCGCTCTCCCAGACATCATCTCCGGCCTCTCACAGATGAGAAGCCTGTACGCACTGCACTGCACTCCACCTCCCTTTCTGCTCATCTCATGCCCGCACACTGCTGCTGCCCCCCATGCCACCCCCTGCTGCCGTCCCTGCCATTCCCCGTGAGCCCAACCCCCCACCTCACTTGGTCATTGGCGGTGTGACTTGACTTGGCTTGGCGTGCTGTTTGGTGCTGTGCTGTGCTGTGCGGTGCTGTGCTGTGTGGTGCGGTGCAGGAACTTGGCGAGCAATCAGTTCACGGGGCCTCTCCCAAGCACCATCGGCAGCATGGAACAGCTGCAGTACTTGTGAGTCACCCTCGCATTCACATGCACAAATCTAACGTCCCTCATGCAGCCTTCAAGTACGCTACACAGACAGGTGGATAGACAGGTGTACCACGCACCAATATTGGAGAGCCACTCCTCAGAATTCTCAAATTCATCGCGTCATTTGCATGTGCCTCGTGTCATGCGCCATGCACCATGAGTGGAGTGCAGGGTAATGCCAGATAATGCGCTAGACGGCACTCTCCCCTCAACCATTGGCAACCTCGCCTACCTCGCCATTCTGTACGCTCCTGTCTCTTCTCACTTCCCCTAAACCTGCCTCCCCTGCTCAACGCGCTTCTCTTCATACCTGCCTGCTTGCCTCTCCTCCTTGTTTCTTCTCCTTGCCCGTCCACGGACGGTATCCCTTACTCCACAGTTGCATGCTTGCTGTGCTTTCTTTCTGTGCTTAGGTGTTGGATGAGAGTCCAATCCAGTCCAGCCGTTGCCCTATTGAACCTCGCCCCTGTGCTCTGCCTTTCTGCATGCCTGCATACCTCCTTTTCATTAACTCACACTGTTGCTCTGGCATGCTGTGTCCCGGGCGTGGTGCTGTGGCAGTGACATGAACAACAACAAGTTGAGTGGGGAGCTGCCGGTGTCCTTTGGCAGTCTCTTCGCGCTGCAGTACCTGTGAGTGCCTGCTTTGCTTTCTTCCCTGCTCTGCCTTGCTGACCCGCGTGTTTATGCGAGGCGATCCCCGGATGGCGCATGCATGTGTGTACGGACGTGTGCATGCCTCGGCCTGCTGTAGGGTGCTAATCAAGCCACGGCGCAAACTCCCTCAGCACCAAGCATCCTTTTTCTATCCTCATGCCCATTTCCTGTCTCCCATTCCCCGCCCCTCCACCTCTCACCCATGGCACAACAGCTACCTGCGCAACAACCAGCTCACAGGAGCCCTCCCGGACATCTTCCAATACCTCCCCCTCTATCACCTGTCAGCCCTTCCCCCTTCTCTCCCTCTCTCTCCTCAGCACCGCACTTTCAAGGTGCCTAATTAGAAATTTGCGTAAAACAGCGCCTTGCTTTACGGGGTCTGTGTGTCCGGCCTTGGCTGCCTCGCTGCCACTGCCATGCCCTGTGCCCATTCGTGCCTTCTAAAGATTATTCCCAAGTCCAGTCAAAATCCTCGAGTCGGCATTGTTTCTCGAGTCCTCGAGCCCTGCCGTGTTTCTCCTCAAGTCAAGATGGTCGGGGTTTCCAGTCGAGGCGCTTCCACTGAAGCCTTCTCGCACTCTGTTCCTGCCTGCCTCTCTCTTGTGTGTGTCATCTCGCAGGGACTTGAGCAGCAACCAGCTCTCCTCGACCCTGCCCACATCCCTCGGCATGCTCGATAACCTTGCCGTCCTGTGCGTGCACTCCTCACTCCTCGCTCCTCCTCCTCCTCCTCCCTCCTCGCTCCTCCATCCTCCCTCCTCGCTCCTCCATCCTCCCTCCTCCCTCCTCGCTCCTCCATCCTCCCTCCTCCTGCTCCTCCTCCTCCTCCTCCTCCTCCTCCTCCTCTCTCCTCTCTCCTCCTCCCTCCTCCCTCCTCCCTCCTCCCTCCTCCCTCCTCCCTCCTCCCTCCTCCCTCCTCCCTCCTCCCTCCTCCCTCCTCCTCCTCCCTCCTCCCTCCTCGCTCCTCCATCCTCTCTCCTGCTTCCTCTCCTCCTCCTCTCCCTCCTCCTCCCTCCTCTCTCCTCCCTCTTCTCTCCCTCCTCTCCCCTCCCTCCTTTCCCCTCCCTCCTCTCTCCTCTCCCCTCCCTCCTCCCTCCTTATCTTTCTAATGTACATGAAATGAATTGAGCCATGTGCGCCGTCCAGGTGTATGTGCCTGTGCGACCGTGCTCCTTGCTCCGTTGCCTTCACTTGCACTTTCCCGATTGCCTGTGTCGACATGCCCTCCTCTACGTGAATTTTACTTTTGAGAATTCTCAAAAGTAAAATTCCCTTCACTTGCACCCGATTGCCTGTGTCGACATGCCCTCCTCTCAACCCGCCGCCCTTTTTGACATGCCAGGGAAAATGCCTTTTACCAGCCTGTGGCACGCATTACATTCCGACCCACACTTCTCGAGTCCATTGCTGTCCTCCTTTTTCTCTCCCAACCCAACCCTTCCCCCCTCTCCTTTCCCTATCGGCATGCAGTGATCTGGGCAACAACCAGTTGACAGGACCGTTGCCTGCCACTATCAGCGGCCTTACGAACCTGCAGCTTATGTGAGCACATGCTGTCAAGCCATGTGAGCAGACGTTGTGAGGTGTGCGAGTGACGTGTAGCTTTGTGCATATGTGTGTGTGTCTGCATGTATCCTTTCATGCATGCCCCGTCTGTGTGTCTGTGCATGTGCATGCACGAGAATGCGTGTGTGTGTTTGATGTGAATGCATGCATACATGCATGCATGTGTGTGTACGTGCAGTTCTGTATGCCTGCTCCCACTCGTGAGTCGCAACAAGCCTCCAGCTCTTGATGATGTGTATGCCCGGCGATGAGTTCGGGTCCATGTGTCTTGATTTTTCAGTCCATTCAAGAGTCAGGGTGCACGCCTCCGGGTGCATGTGTGCAGGTACCTGCCATCGAATCATCTCTTGGGCCCGCTTCCAAGCACCATTGGCAAGCTCAAGTCTCTCCAAGTCATGTATGAATTCATTCATTCGTGCTGCCTTTTTCACACTCTTTAAAGGCCATTGGCATGCTTATGTCGCTCTTTTTAGTCGACTTTGAAAAGTCATTGGCGTGCTTATGTCGCTCACATCTGTATACGGATTCATGCTGATGTGAGTGCTAGCGATCTCATAAAAGAATATCCTTCATCTGGTCATTGCATTGGAGCGTGTAAATATTGAGCACAAACCATTTCTCCTCTCCTCCTGTATCTCCACCTCATGCTGCATCTTTCTTCCCTCATACGTTCGGAAAGACTGATTACCAACCAAAGGCCTGCACACAAGCCACACACCATGCATGAAATCCCCTTACCTCTTACGTGTAACCACGGGAGCAGGCATCTGAGTCGCAACTGGATAGAAGGCGCCATCCCCAGCACCATCAGCGCCCTCACCAACCTCTGCCAGATGTGAGCTCCCCCCACCTGTATCGCGCTATGCCTCATTCGCTCTCTCATTTTGAGGCGCCTCAAAAGTAGAATCCCCAGCACCATCAGCTCACTCTCCAACCTCTGCCATATGTGAGCTTCTCCCACCTGTACCGCCATCCCCCATACCCATTCACTTGCTGCCATGCCCCATTCGTTTTCTGCGATGGCCCATGTGTCATGTTGGGGATCCGAATCCGGCACACAGTTGCAACAGCTGAGATCACAATGAAGGCACGCATGACGTGTGCATAGTCCTCCTCTTCTCTCCTCTCCTCCCATGTTCTTCCCCTACCCTACCCTCCCCTCCCCTCCCCTCCACTCCACTCTCTCCTCTCCTCCCCCACCTCCCCACTTCACTCCTCTCCTCCATTCCACTCTCCCTCTCTCCCATCCATGTCCCGCCCTGTCCCCTGGGCAGCATTCTCAATGCCAACGTGCTCAACCAGCCGCTACCAAACGCGTTCAAGAAGCTCACCGACTTGAACACTCTGTCAGTGCCACTCTCTCCTGATCCAGCATTCTTGTGTTGCGTCCTTATGTGTATCTGTGCATGTATACATGGAGAGTCGACGTGTCGACCCACATGCCTCCTTTTGTTGACCCTCATGCCTCCATGTGTTGACCCACATGCCTCCACGTGCACAATTTATGCGTGCTGTGTCCACATTCCATGAATAAGTGTGTGCTTGCGTGCATGTGCGTGTGTGCATATGTGCATGTGTCCACATGTCAACGTGTGCATGTGAGCGTGCAGGAGGCTGGAGGAGAATCAGCTGCCTGGATCCATTCCAGTCAGCATCGGCAACTTGGTGTCTCTTACCGCGCTGTATGCTCCCCTCTCCCTCGCCTCCATCAACCTCCCTCTTCACCTTTATCACCTTCACCTTCACCTTCACTTGCTATCTCACATGCCCCTCTCGCCTCACATGCCCCTCGCTGCACGTGATGCGGCCCTGTCACGTGCAGCATGTCACATCCGTCACCATCATGGAGTCACTATCCACCCGCAACCTCATTTTGGGCCCTTTGACTCTTCTCGCACAACACCGTGCCACACCATGCCACACCATGCCACACCATCCACCCACATTCATCATCTTCTCTGCATCCTATCATCCCATCATCCGTTCTCGCCTCAACCCATCGCTGCAGCAACCTCAGCTCCAACCGTCTTGAGGGAGTCATTCCGTCTACTCTTGGCGCCCTCACTAATCTCAATTTCCTTTGCGTCTCCTCTCCTCCATTCCCCTTATCTCTACCGCCTACTTTTTCCTTTCTTCTTTTGTTCCTCCATCGGCACTCACTCCTAACTCCATGTGTGCTTCTCCTCCTTCGACTCGTCCCACGCCTCGTTTTTTTTCACTTCCTCTTCGCTTCTTTGCTTCCATTGTAACACCTACCGAGGTCTTTGTTCGCATGCATGCCTTGTGCTCCATATCTCATGCGCGCTCCTTGCCCTCTCTTGCATTTTCCTCACTCTCTCCTTCGTTGTTCCTCGCTCTCTCCTCCTCTCACACCCCCCTCCGTGTTTCTCACTCTCCCCTCCGTGTTCCTCACTCTCCTCCCCTCCATGCTCTCTCCCACTGCTCCAATCCCATGCCTGCAGGGATCTGCGATGGAATGATCTCACAGGCACGGTCCCCGCCACTCTGGGGAACATCACTTACCTTGATATCCTGTGGGTGCAACCTAACCCACGCCCTCCCATCTCAAACACAACCTTTCCAGTCTTAACACTAACTTTGCATCCCAGAGCCTCACCTCTCTGCCCTCACCATCCCCTCGTTCCATCGCTCCACTCGCTCATACACTTTCAACTGTTCCCTCCCTCTTCCCCTCCCCTCCCATGTGCATGCAGCAATGTGGACACTGCGGACGTGACATGTGGGGTGGGTGGCAGCTGCGAGGTGCATCAGGTCTTGTGGTCTGCCTTCTGTCGCCTCTGCCCTGACTTCTGCTCCTCTTGCACCGAAAGTCAGCTCTCCCGCCCTTTCACTCATACAACCACTCATTTATGCATCCAATTTTCCGTCCGTCCGTCCGTCCGCGCACCTTCACCCTCTCTCCGCCCCCTGTGACCTCTCTCGCTTGTCCTCTCTCCACCTCGTCCCCACCCAATGTCCACTCGTCCCCTTGCTCCTCCCCACCCGGTACCAGAAAAGGTGAACCCGCCATGCAAGACAAGGCGCAGGGCGTGTCCGCGCAAGAAGGCATGTCCCAAGGGCAAGCGCTGCAGGCCCTATGTCCGCAGCTGCTTGGGCTACAAGTGCGTGTGACGTGTGACGTGTGATGGGATGGGATGCACAGTGTCGGCTCCTTGGGGCCAGCCCATTACCTGCTGTTGATCCTTCTCATTGTACATACCGTAGTGTGCTGGGTGTGGCTTTGTGCGGTGCCCCAGTTTGTACAGGGCTTGAAGGTGGCTTAGGGGCTTAGAGCCTTCAATGTTGGGGTGAGGTGTGAGTAATAGTTTGTTTTATGCAGGTTACATACTTCAGCTAGTAGTTGCGTGCAAACAGGAAATAAATAGCTCCTCTGCTCTTCCCGTAGCTCGTGGTGTATGTACAGCAGTTCAATAATTTCCTGGTTGATCCTACACTGGTGTTCTCTGCAGTGCATTTATCCCTGTTAAACAAACTACTGTATGCAACCAGACCAAATCTGGGAGGGACCATGCCAGCGCTAGTGCGCCCATTTTTTCAGCGCCTCAGAAGCCACCACGCCCGGAATGCTCCTCGGATGGCAAGGCAGACGAGGAGGACAGATGCATGCCGCTGTGCTGCACGGCAGACATGACGAGCATGTGGTTCAGGATGGACAGCTCTTCATCCAGAGTGCGCCCCTGCTCCTTCAACCCCTCCATGAATGCCCGGTCCACCTCCTCTGCACTCTCCTGCAACCCCACATCGCCCCCCATCCCCCCTCCCTCACCCTTCAGCTTCCCAGGCGCTTCTCCTGCTGCCCCTGCCAACCCACCCGCTCCTGCTCCTGCTCCTACCCCACCAGCCCCTGCACCAACACCGCCTGATAGCTCCAGCGCACCATCCCCCTCGCCCTCCTCGTGAATAACCCTTCCCATGACACCACCAGCAGCACCCCCACCAGCGCCACCAGCAGCACCTGCATTCCCATACCCCTTGCGCCCCCCACTGCCATCCCTGGCGCCATCCCGCGTGCCCAAGAACTCGAGCTTGAGGGAGAAGAGGGAGGAGATGAGAGACGCCATGGAGGGGCGGGTGGCCGTGGGCACACGCGTGCATGCCAGACCTAGCTCTGTGAGTGCCTTTGTGAGCCGCAGCTGCTGCTCGTGACTGAGGGTGCTGCTGGAGAGGGTGCCTGGTGGCTGTGCTTGTTGTAACGAGGGGTGTAGGAGTGGTGTGAGGTCGTCGGCAGCTAGGAGAGGGGCGGCCTGATGGGATTGTGAAAGAAGAGGGGGAAGGGATGGCGTGATGAGGTTGGAAAGAAGAGAGTACAACCATAGAATGAGCAAGTGCAAGGAGGGGCAAGGAGGGTGCAAACCATTCTGTGCCCATGAGCACCACGAAATTCCACCCCAGCACCACTTTAATGCCTTTCGATTGATGGGAATCACGACTCACCCAGTCCTTGATGTTGACGCACTCTGTGTCCACCAGCACCACCGGGCCTCGCCCCAGCACCACCTCCAGCATCACCACTCCAAAGCTGCCTCGCCAGGACACGGGGAACAGGGTGGAAGGGCGGGAACGGAGAGGGGAATAGTGGGGGAACACAGTGGGAAGAAAGGGACACGGTGAGCATGTTGGGAAGGCAACAGGAACGAGAGGAGGGTAGGGAGGAGTAACTTGAAACGGGGAGTTGAGATTCTGTGCGTGCGCTGCGCACCTGTATACATCAAGCGACGGGGTGGCCTTGTGTGTCTTGTAGTAGACAGGGTCCACATAGCCCGGTGTGCCCATCACCCGCGTGGACCCCCACCCACCACCACCGCTGCCACTGCCGCTGCTCGTGTTGCCAGCGCTGGTGGTTGTGGTGGGGGGGTTGCGCCCCTCTCCCAGGCGCAGCAGACCAAAGTCTGATACCTTGGCCTGTGACCAAGGTGTCATTCACAAGTGGGGCGAGGGCGACCAGAGAAGGGAGGGAGTTGAGGGAGGGGACAACCGGTGCCGTAGCAGGCAACAGCAGCATGAGACGTCTGAAAACAAGAAAGGTGGAACAAGTGCAGGGTGAAGGAAGGGAAAAGGCGGAGGAAAGGTGGGGAAAGAATAACAAGACGCATTACTACATGCATGCACATGCGTGTTGGCTGAACTCAAGGCATGCACATGGCATACCATCACCGCATGCACTCGCCTGCATGTGTTTGTCGAGCAGGATGTTGGCGGGCTTGATGTCGCGATGCACGATGCCAAAGCTGTGCAGATACTCCAACCCGCGCGCTGCTCCGATCAAAATGTCCAGCCGCTGCTGCAGGGTCAGAGGGGGTTCTGCTTGATGCACGGAGAAGGGAGGAAAACGAAAAGGCAAAGGGCAAGGAAAGGAAGATGAGGACATGGATGATGCAGATTGCTGTGCCGCAGGCAGCAGACACACATTGGGGATTCTCAAACACGCATTCACTCGAGCAGTGAGACTACCTGCCATCCATTCACTAGTGAATCCATCCACTCGCCCGGTTGCCCGGTTGCCCGGTTGCCCGGTTGCCCGGTTGCCCGGTTTCCCGGTTGCCCGGTTGCCCGGTTGCCCGGTTGCCCGGTTGCCCGGTTTCCCGGTTGCCCGGTTGCCCGGTTGCCCGGTTGCCCGGTTGCCCGGTTTCCCGGTTTCCCGGGTTCCTGGTATCCCGGTATCCCGATGCATGCTCCATCGCGAATTTATTCACCCACTGACCCACTCACCCTCCCACTCACTTGCTCACCTGTGCGCATGCGCTTAGCGAGGTCGCCCTGGCCCATGAACTCGTACACAAGGATCTGCTGCGGCAGCTGCGAGGCAGCATCCACGTCGTTGCAGAAGCCCAGCAGTCGCACCAAGTTGGGATGGTGCTTCGTCGCCATCTGATCCACCTGCACTGGTCGTAGCACCGTGTTTCCGGTGCAGGAGGTGCAGCGATGGGAGAGAGAGAGCGGAGAGGGCCGAGCGGTAAGGGAGAGGCGCCGGATCAGGAGTGGAAGCGCTGACGCTGCACGGAATTGGGAATGATTGGTTGACCAAAGGGCAAGTTCTCACATCCACTCTACAAGGACCTCAGTGGTAATCTGCATGGGATTCCTAAGCGACATGTACCATCACTCCTGCCTCGCTCACCTCGCGCCTGAAGTCAGCACTGATGATCCTCGCGCGCTTCACGGCCCACACCACGCCCGCATTCCCAGGGCACACCCCCCGGTACACGTCACCAAACGCCCCGCTGCCGATCTTGCAGTCAGGCGACCAGCACTGCGTGGCTGCCTCCAGTTCACGCAGAGCAAACTGGTGGAACAGGGGCGGCGCGTCCGTGGACCCTAGAGGTGTCACTGGCTGGTATGGGGCAGAGCTGTTGCTGCTGCTGTTGTTGAGATGCTTGCTGTCGCTGCCGCTGCAGTTTGTGGCCTCCAGGGATGGCTTGGCTGCTGCCATTGCTCCTTCTCCTTGTCCTGCTGGTTTTTAAAGGGGGGGTTGGCATTGTACATTGGGATTGCAGGCACATTGGGACTGCAGGCACATTGGGACTGCAGGCACATTGGGACTGCAGGCACATTGGGACTGCAGGCACATTGGGACTGCAGGCACATTGGGACTGCAGGCACATTGGGACTGCAGGCACATTGGGACTGCAGGCTCATTGGGACTGCAGGCACATTGGGACTGCAGGCACATTGGGACTGCAGGCACATTGGGACTGCAGGCACATTGGGACTGCAGGCACATTGGGACTGCAGGCACATTGGGACTGCAGGCACATTGGGACTGCAGGCACATTGGGACTGCAGGTACATTGGGACTGCAGGCACATTGGGACTGCAGGCACATTGGGACTGCAGGCACATTGGGACTGCAGGTACATTGGGACTGCAGGCACATTGGGACTGCAGGCACATTGGGACTGCAGGCACATTGGGACTGCAGGCACATTGGGACTGCAGGTACATTGGGACTGCAGGCACATTGGAACTGCAGGTACATTGGGACTGCAGGCACATTGGGACTGCAGGCACATTGGGACTGCAGGTACATTGGGACTGCAGGCACATTGGGACTGCAGGCACATTGGGACTGCCGGTACATTGGGACTGCAGGCACATTGGGACTGCAGGCACATTGGGACTGCAGGCACATTGGGACTGCAGGCACATTGGGACTGCAGGCACATTGGGACTGCAGGCACATTGGGACTGCAGGTACATTGGGACTGCAGGCACATTGGGACTGCAGGCACATTGGGACTGCAGGCACATTGGGACTGCAGGTACATTGGGACTGCAGGCACATTGGGACTGCAGGCACATTGGGACTGCAGGCACATTGGGACTGCAGGCACATTGGGACTGCAGGCACATTGGGACTGCAGGCACATTGGGACTGCAGGCACATTGGGACTGCAGGCACATTGGGACTGCAGGCACATTGGGACTGCAGGCACATTGGGACTGCAGGCACATTGGGACTGCAGGCACATTGGGACTGCAGGCACATTGGGACTGCAGGCACATTGGGACTGCAGGTACATTGGGACCCTAGTTGCAAAAGACGCGTCTAGCGTCTTAGACGCGTCCGTCTAGATGCAGCGTCTAAGACGCCAGACGTGCCTTGTGCAGATTAGACGCTGGGATAGACGCAAGCCCGGGCAGGCAAAAAAAATAGTACAGGCAGCCAAAAAAAACCTTCTATAAGCCATTGGGAGGAGGAGGGGAGATGGGATGAACGACATCTGGGTATAGCAGACGAATTAGGCTGCTGGGACATTCATCGAGATCTAGAACCTCTAGATCTAACATTGACGCTCACAATTTCATATCTCAAATTGGTTGGGATTTCTAGAGTCAGTGCAGTGAATCCGGGGGTGAACCTTAATCCGGGGGTCAACCCCGGGTTAAGGTTCACCCCCGGATTAAGGTCACCCCCGGATTAAGTTCAACCCCGGATTAAGGTCACCCCCGGATTAAGGTTCACCCCCGGATTAAGGTCACCCCCGGATTAAGGTCACCTTCGGATTAATGTCACCCCCGGATTAAGGTCACCCCCGGATTAAGTTCAACCCCGGGTTAAGGTCGCCCCCGGATTAAGGTCACCCCCGGATTAAGGTCACCCCCGGATTAAGGTCACCCCCGGATTAAGGTCACCCCCGGATTAAGGTCACCCCCGGATTAAGGTCACCCCCGGATTAAGTTCAACCCCGGGTTAAGGTCGCCCCCGGATTAAGGTCACCCCCGGATTAAGGTCACCCCCGGATTAAGGTCACCCCCGGATTAAGGTCACCCCCGGATTAAGGTCACCCCCGGATTAAGGTCACCCCCGGATCAAGGTCACCCCCGGATTAAGGTCCCCCCCGGATTAAGGTCACCCCCGGATTAAGGTCACCCCCGGATTAAGGTCACCCCCGGATTAAGGTCACCCCCGGATTAAGGTCACCCCCGGATTAAGGTCACCCCCGGATTAAGGTCACCCCCGGATTAAGGTCACCCCCGGATTAAGGTCACTCCCGGATTAAGGTCACCCCCGGATTAAGGTCACCCCCGGATTAAGGTCACCCCCGGATTAAGGTTAACCCACCAGACGGAACATGCTGCTTCTTCTTCTTGCTTCTCCACCAGCAAAACCCAAGCAGCAGCAGCAGCACCACCACGCACACCGCTGCTGCTGCTACTCCTGCCACCACTGCCACTGAAACCCCACCACCACTGCTGCTGCTGCTGCTGCTGCTGCTGTTGGTTGGAGGCACAGATGGGGAGGAGGGGAGCGGAGGAGAAGGAGAAGGAGGAGGGATAGAGGATGGAGAGGTGGAGGGCGAGGGTTGGGATGGGTGGGCAGGTGGCGAGAGAGAGAGCTCGGGAGGAGGGGAAGTGGTAAGTACAGGAGGAGAGAGAGTGATTCTGGGAGGTGGGGAGGAGAGAGAAAGCAGAGGGGGAGAGGGTGGAGAGACGAGGGGAGGGAAAGCTGCTGCGGGCGGGGAGCGGGGGACACGTGGTGGGGGGAATACGGGCGCAGGGAGAGGGGAGCGGCCTGGGGGAGGGGGGCTTCCTGCAGGGGCGAGTGGGGCAGGGGAGAGGGGGGGAGGGAGATGGAGAAGGAATATTATCTACAATGGCTGAAATTGACTCAGACTGAGATGCACAGGAACAGATGTTTGAGAAGGAAATGGCAGAGGGAGGATGACGAAGGATGTGATAGGATGGCATTGGGTGAGCAGCACCAGGGGAGGGCAGCACCAGGGGAGGGCAGCACCAGGGGAGGGCAGCACCAGGGGAGGGCAGCACCAGGGGAGGGCAGCACCAGGGGAGGGCAGCACCAGGGGAGGGCAGCACCAGGGGAGGGCAGCACCAGGGGAGGGCAGCACCAGGGGAGGGCAGCACCAGGGGAGGGCAGCACCAGGGGAGGGCAGCACCAGGGGAGGGCAGCACCAGGGGAGGGCAGCACCAGGGGAGGGCAGCACCAGGGGAGGGCAGCACCAGGGGAGGGCAGCACCAGGGGAGGGCAGCACCAGGGGAGGGCAGCACCAGGGGAGGGCAGCACCAGGGGAGGGCAGCACCAGGGGAGGGCAGCACCAGGGGAGGGCAGCACCAGGGGAGGGCAGCACCAGGGGAGGGCAGCACCAGGGGAGGGCAGCACCAGGGGAGGGCAGCACCAGGGGAGGGCAGCACCAGGGGAGGGCAGCACCAGGGGAGGGCAGCACCAGGGGAGGGCAGCACCAGGGGAGGGCAGCACCAGGGGAGGGCAGCACCAGGGGAGGGCAGCACCAGGGGAGGGCAGCACCAGGGGAGGGCAGCACCAGGGGAGGGCAGCACCAGGGGAGGGCAGCACCAGGGGAGGGCAGCACCAGGGGAGGGCAGCACCAGGGGAGGGCAGCACCAGGGGAGGGCAGCACCAGGGGAGGGCAGCACCAGGGGAGGGCAGCACCAGGGGAGGGCAGCACCAGGGGAGGGCAGCACCAGGGGAGGGCAGCACCAGGGGAGGGCAGCACCAGGGGAGGGCAGCACCAGGGGAGGGCAGCACCAGGGGAGGGCAGCACCAGGGGAGGGCAGCACCAGGGGAGGGCAGCACCAGGGGAGGGCAGCACCAGGGGAGGGCAGCACCAGGGGAGGGCAGCACCAGGGGAGGGCAGCACCAGGGGAGGGCAGCACCAGGGGAGGGCAGCACCAGGGGAGGGCAGCACCAGGGGAGGGCGTGCAGGAGGCGCAGAAGTCGGGGCACTCGAGGCAGAAGGCGGACATGGGGTCCTGCTTTAGCTGGCAGGATCCCCCCGTGGGACACGTGAGGTTTGACTCGTAGATCGAACTGGTCAGCCAGTCAGTGGCACATGGGGGGACATGGGCAGGGGAGACGTGGGGTGTGAGAGAAGGCATGAGCACGGAAGCAGGGTGGCATGGAAGAACGGCATGGCATGGAAGAACGGCATGGCATGAAAGAACGGCATAACATGGAAGGGGGGGAGATGGGAGGAGAGGTGCACCCTCCTCCCAAGGCTGAGGAAAATCAAGGGAGACTGGAGAGGACAGTGGGGGGAGACAGGCGGGCAGGCAGCCAGGCAGGCAGGCAGGGAGCGGAGCAGCAGCAGGGGCGGGGGTGCCTCACAGGGTTCCGAGGGGAATGCCTCCGAGCACAGGTGGTACCACGCCAGACAGCTGGTTGCCTGATATGACGTCCCTGGGCGGAGGGGAGGAGGGAGGGAGGGAGGGAGGGAGGGAGGGAGGGAGGGAGGGAGGGAGGGAGGGAGGGAGGGAGGGAGGGAGGGAGGGAGGGAGGGAGGGAGGGAGGGAGGGAGGGAGGGAGGGAAGGAGGGAGGGAGGAGGAGGGAGGGAGGGAGGGAGGAAGGGTTAGAGAGGGTCCAAGAGAGGGGCCATGTGCAACGGCTGTCTGCACAAGGAGAATGCAGTCACGCAGATTGATGAAGAGGCTTTCGTGTCATCGCTCGCTCTAGCTTCACCATACCTTCTCTTCTCTTCTTCCCACTCCTCGCACACCCCTCGCACACTGCACTCACACCTCTCACGGTGGTGCACACGTGCACGGGAGGGAAGGAGGAGAGCGAGGAGGCAAGGAGGCAAGCGCGGCTCACTCACAGCGTGGAGAGTTGGTGCAGGTTGCCTATCTGGGCGGGCAGGGACCCGTTCAGCTGGTTCGACGACAGGTAGCTGCGTGTGGTGGCGTGATGGGATGTAGCAGCACGCGGGGGAGTGCGTGATGGTGGGATGGGAAAGGGAAGGGGGGAGGGGAGAATAGGAGGTTGGCTTGCGCCTCAGAAAGCGACGTATCCAGGGAAATCCCAAAGACGTTGCAGAATCCACAGAGATATCAGGAATGCAAAAGTGAATCCGGTTGAAGGAAATATGAGCAGAGGGGATGAGGGAGGTGAGGGAGAGGGAAGCGAAAAGAAGATGGTTGGAACAGGGAATTGGGTGGTGGTGGTGGGGCGGTCACGAGAGAAAAGGAAGGAGCAGGAGAAAGAGGGAGGGCGTACAGGTCATTGAGTGTGGTGAGATTGCCAATAACGGCAGGGATGCTGCCACTCAGCCTGTTGTTGCGAAAGTTGCTGCAGGGGGAGAGGGAGGCAGGGCGGGACGAGAGGAACGGGAGTAGGAATGCAGGCAGACACAAGGAATAGAACGAGGAGGTACTGAAAGGAATGCACTGCATATGAATGCTTGCGGACTTGTAGAAAGAAGAAACTCCAGAGACAAATGCTCGGCATACTGCGCACAAATGCTCATTCATACAGCTCAGTGATTGAGAGAAGGCCGTCGATGGCGGTGGGTATGGAGCCAGAGAGCTGGTTGTAACTCAGGTCGCTGCGGACAGACAGGAGGGGGGAAGGGAGAGAGAGGGACACAGGGGGTTGTCTGTGTGTCCAATGCGATGGGGGAGGAGGGAGATCCGCGTGAGGAGAGGGAAGCGGGCTGGTGAGGATTACACAAAAGAATCATGAAGGCAGGGAGGGTGAGTGACTGACAGGTAGAGCAGGCGTGTGAGGTGGCTGATGGTGGAGGGGATGGACCCTGTCAATGCGTTGTTGTCTAGATCACTGCAGGGCACACACATGCACATGCACATGCACATGCACATGCATGCCATGACGCATGGCAGAATGGGAGGGCAGCACAGGTAAACAGGGAACGGGGCGCAGGGGATGGGGGATGGAGGGTCGGGGATGCGTATGGATAGATGGATATGTTAAAGTATGGGGTTGGATGGGTATGGACAGTGGCGATAAAAGGGTGGGGGGATCGTTGAGCGTTGAACAACAGCAGTCGAGAACGGCGAGACGACCTAAATTGCATTGCAAACAGGGGCCGGCACGGTGCTAGGGGTGCGAGGGTGGAGTGGAGCGGCAGGGAGGCTGACTGACAGGTGGGTGAGACCAATGAGGGCGCCGATGCTGGCAGGGATGGATCCTGCTATGCCTCCGCTGTTCAACACCCTGACACACGGCGAGGGCGACGGTGGGAGAGTGACGGTGAGGGAGGGCGATTGGGTGAGACAGCATGAGCAAGAGGTACTGGATGAGATACGGTGGAACAGGAAGGGAGAGGAAGCCAGAGGAGGCGAAGAGAAGGCGGCGTGGCTAAACAGTTACATTACGCCTCGCCTGTGTCGACTCAATATGCGTGGCTAAACAGGAAGCGTGCAGCGTGAGAGACGGCGCGCAGCGCGCTCACATCCAGTCGACCATGCCGGCGGCGTCGCATGTGATGTTGATGGCGATCCCGCAATCCATGGGGTCCGAGGAGTCTAAGAACGCCACCCCCCATGCCGCCGCGCACGCCGCCAATGGCGCCACTGCGGGAAGCGGGGAGATAGGGAGAAGGTGGGCCGTTGAGAGGGCAAGACCAAACGATGGGGGGATGGGACAACGGCATGTAATGCCAAGGTAACGGATTCTTTGGCGAGGAGAGGAGATAAGGGTGGACACTGGCGGACATTCCACGGCGGTTTCGGATCGCACGTCACGCCGCATCATCGCGGCGCATGTGGCACACGTGGCAGCACCTTGTGACTTGTCCAGACGCGGCTCGGCGGCGACGACGGGGATCCCTCGCCGCCATGCAGTGAACGGCGCGCTGCTGCTACCGCTTCTACTGCTGACGATCCACCCATCTGAGCCGCTGTTTGAGGTGCCGTCGTTGCACAACAGGAACAACAGCCACAGCAGCAGCACCAGCGGCGGCAGCGGCAGAAGCACGGAAGAAGGCCGTGCGGATCTACAGAAATGGCGTCGTCTCGTACGAGCTACGCCTGCCGTCATCTGCGCGGCCTCTCGGCAGGTACTACGAAACAAGTGCCGCGAAACGTCAAACGCGCGGCTCGGCGTCACGACGCCATGCACTGGACTCGAAACCCGTCGACGCCCCACAAGCGGTGCAAAACGCGTCCCGCCGACGCGCCGACGCGAGATATATATTCGCAAGAGGACTCGACTCGGAGAGTGCTCAGAGGAGAAAGGTGGGATGGCCTCTCGCGGCCACTTATGGGATTTCCGTAGCGGAATCTGCTTCCACTGGCACGAACGAAGACGAGTCGCTCGCAACACAGCAAGAAACATAACAGGAAGGGTGGAGTGGGAGGGGGGGGGGACTCCAGTTGACCCGCGATTTGGGGGTGAGCCGCGGCTGACGCTGCGCACGCGATATTTTCCATTTCAGCGAGCCTCCCTGATTGGTTCGGCGAAAACGAAGACATGCAGCGTGTCCACCCCATTACTGACCCCTCGCAAAAGGCCTAGTCCCTTATCGCGGATGTGGGTTGTTCAGAGACATACTGTACATTTGTATGTTTCCCTAATCCATGAATCTTCCCTATTTCATCCATGAACTGGGAATGGAATCAACTGGTTGGCTGCTTGCCTGCTAAGCTGGTTGGCTAGGTGATGTTGGCTGGTGAGTGTGGCAGCAACACTGCATGCAGAAGACACTGTAGAATCCATATGCTCTTGCTGTACCTGATACTGAAGCATGGCTGTCGTGCCTGCGCCAGGTTTTGTATTCTGCTTCTCGTTCGCTGGCCATTGCTGTGCTGCAGATGTCGTGTGAAGTATGGACAACCCACTCCCTGCCATGGTGCCCTCACCACCGTCGTGTGTGAGGGGTTTCGTTTGCTCCCTGCCATTGTCTCTTGCACCCCACCACCATGCACGTGCCTGTCATTCTATCTGCAACGCACTCTCACTTAGCGACATGAACGAGGGCTTGGCTAGTAGCAACCAAGTCTTCCTCATGCCACAGCCCACCATCGGGCATATCGCGTGTCGCCTTGGCACGGCACAGTACCTGCCGGAGAAGTCTCTGTCTGTTTGTTTGTCCTGCTTGGGTGCTTGTGCCCAGGCGGTTTCCAGGCTGCCCACCCACCCCTCCCACCTATTCCACAACAGGCAGGCCATCCCAGCACAGCACGGTGCGACACAGCAAACCTAAGCACAGCAGACTGAGCAAAGATAGGCACAGCTAAGCACAGCTAAGAACAGCTAAGAACGGCTAAGCAGGGCGAAGCAAAGAGGCAGTGCTTGTTGAGCTCAAGGTGGCAGTCCACCACCATGCGATGCAACACGCCACATGTCCTCCTCGCCCTGCACTTGGCGATACAACAGAAAAGCCACTCGCACAGAAAAGCTGCCAACGAGACAGCCATGGGACATGGAAGGAAGAAAAAGAAAGAGGAGCCACTTAGAAGTTGCGGCACAAGTACAGATAATCCGACGGCAAGGATTAATTGTGTATTGTATTCACTTCAGATCGCAATCGAAGGCGAGCATAAAGTGAAATAAATAAGTACGACAACAAGGTTTGGAACTACCCTCCCCCTCCCCCCCCCCACTCCTCTTCTCCTCCCTCCTCCCTCCTCCCCCTCCCGTTGCAAAATCGGCCATCACACATACCATGTAGAATAAGCAGCACTGCTGTTGCTGCCACTGCTCCCCCCATGGATGCTGCCAGAGACAGTAATGGGACATGGAGAGAGGAGAATATCAGGGCCGCAAGATGTTGCGAGTCGCAACAACAACAGGATACAGTGACATGGATGAAGGGAGAGGCGGGGGAGGGAAGGGCACCATAATATCAGGATACAGAAAGATGGGAGGGAGGGCTGAGGAGAAGGATGATGGGAAACGAGTAAGGTACTGGAGTCTAGGAAAAGAATGCAAGCGACGTTTAACAACAAGCATATAGAGGGACCATAGGGTAGACTGTAATTACCCCTCCATTGCTGCAGTTGCAACCACTGCAGTGGCCGTTGACACTGCAACTACTGTTGCCACCACCACTGCTGCTGCTGCTGCTGCTGTTGCCCCTTTGAGTGTTGGAGAGAGGGGAGGAAGGATGGCAAGGACGAGGACGGGAGGCGTGAGGATTTGAAAGAGCAAGGAGAGGAGAAGCGAGTTGATGAGAGGCTGAGGATATGGCACTGACATGCCAGAATAGATGGCAGATGGTAGCTGGAAAAGGGACCGAGACAAGAAGCAACGCAGGATGCATTCGCCCTGCTGCTGCATCTTCACTCTTGTTTACCTCCTGTCTTGGAGACGGAAGGAACAGAAGGCAGCTTGTTGTCCCCGCCGATACTCAGGCAAGTCCTCAAAGCACAAAGCACTCAACGTCTTGGAGCCTTCACGGCTTGGAGCGTTCACGGCCTGGAGTCTTCACTTGGAGCCTGAAACAAACACGCATGCATGCACACGCAGGCAGGCGTTGCCTCCCCACCCCACCCCCTCCGCTGCCCCACCCACCCCATTCCCCCGCCTCACCTACACATGCACCCACACAGCAGCAGTGAGTCTCTCATGCCCCGTGCACTCACCACCATTCCCATCTTCTCACATGCCGTGAGGCACACACACGCATGGGGAGAGAAAACACGCACACAGAAGCGGAGCAAGAAGGGAGGGTTAGGAGCAGCAGAAGAGGAGGCCAATGGCAAGGACAAGAACAAGAGACACGACTCTTGCCTCTGCGCGGCAACACTCGACGACTCACTTCACGGCCCCCCTGCAAGCACCCCCTGGCACGTACCACGCTCCGTCCGTTGCACTCCCACTCCTGCGTCACGCCTTCACTTCACGCGTCCACGTGCTGCCATTGCTCTCCGTCTCGCAGGTCACGAGGCACACACACACAGGGGGGAGAGAGAGGAATCACGCACACATGGGGAGAGAGAGACACACACACATGGGGAGAGAGAGACACACACAGAAGTAGCGCAATAGAGGAGGGTTAGAAGCAGCAGGTGGCAAGGGGTGGAACCGCAAGCAACAGACACGACTCTTGCCTCTGCGCGGCGACACGCTACGACTCTCTTCACGGCCCCCCTGCAAGCACCCCCTGGCACGTACCATGCTCCATCTGTCGCTTTGCCAGTCGGCTGCTCTGCCTGCTGCACCACGCCTGCGTGCTGCTCCGTAGCTGCAAGCAGCGCCCTTGCTGCTGCCCGTGCTGTCGGTCGCTCGTCGTCCGCTGCTGCTGCTGCTGCTGCTGCTGCAGTTGCTGCTCTCGTTGCCATCGCGCCACTGCAGAGAAGAGGAGAGGGCAGGAGAGGAAGGGTTTGGGAGCTGAGAAGAGTGGCATGAACGCATGGCAGCACAGCACAGCTGCAAAGACTCATGGGCAACGTGGAAAAACGTAGACAAGAGAGCAGGAAAACAGAAAGCAGGAAGACGGTGAGAAGTGAAGTGCACAGTGCTTGACCTGATCCACTCACAACTTGTTGTGTGCTCGCCTCGCCATGACGCTGCAGGCGCTGCAGCCACTGGTGATCCCTGAGTTGCTGCAACCACTGCCCCTTTGACTGCTGGAGGTGAGGGGAGAAGGGATGGCGAGGAAGAGGAAGAGAGGCGTGAGGATGTGAATGAGCAGATGCTAGCTGGAGAAGGGACTAGGACAAAAAGCAACGCACGGTGCATTCGCCCTGCTGCTACATCTTCACTCCAAGTTACCTATTGCCTTGGAAGAAATAGATTTCTGTTGTCCCCACCGAAGGACGGGCAGGTTCACAAAGAGCAATCCGCCACACTCCAGAGCTTGAAGGCTGAGAGTAACGCTCAAAGGCGTGCACACACGCACACGCACACATGCACGCCCTCACCCGCTTTCCCCCATTCCCCCTTTCCCCCACACGCACATGCACAGTCCACGTCCACTCGCTGACATTCGCGCCCGCCTCGCAGGACGAGAGGCACACACACGCATGGGGAGAGAGAGACACACACAGACACGGCACAACAAGGGAGGGTTAGAAGCAGCAGGACAAGAGGCGAGTGGCAAGGACAAGAACAAGAGACACGACTCTTGCCTCTGCGCGGCGACACCCTACGACTCACTTCACGGCCCCCCTGCAAGCACCCCCTGGCACGTACCACGCTCCTGCGCCCTGGCAGGCGTGCTGCTCTGGGCCGGGACGTCTCTCAAGCGAGGCCGCATCGCAAGTCCCGTGCATTCCGAGCCCATTCCATGCCATTCCGCGTCCACTCCGCGCCATTCGCCTCGACCTCGGAGGCCGTGAGGCACACACAAGCATGCGGAGAGAAAACACGCACACAGGGGCGGAGGAAAAGGAAGGGTTAGGAGCAGCACAAGAGGAGGCGAGCGGCGGGGGCAAGGCCAAGAGACACGACTCTTGCCTCTGCGCGGCGACTCACTACACGTCCCCCCTGCAAGCATGCCCTGACACGTACCATGTTCCGTTGGCCGCTCTGCGCCTCGCTTTCCCTTCTCCTCGCTGGGATTGTCGTCTCTCGTGCGCGCCAGCCACGGCAGCCCGCCCGTTCCCCGCCCACTCGCTGCCATTCCCGCCCGTCTCGCAGGCCGTGAGGCACACACACGCATGGGGAGAGAGGCAGGCACAGAGAAAAGAAGCAACAAGAGAGGGTTAAAAACAGCAACAGGAGAGTGGTGGAGGAAAGGACAGGAGACACGACTTTTGCCTCTGCGCGGCGACGCTCTAGGACTGGCTACACTTCCCCCCTGCGAGCAT